CAATAAATTATGATTATCTTTAAAATGTTTCAGAAGTTCGTTACATTTGCGACCAAATAAAGGTACACAATTACAATTTCACTGCTAACATCAACTACTGGGTACGGCGATGTACGGTAGTGATGTGGGACTATTGTTACAATGCACGGTAATATTGTGACACTAAGTAAATGCAGACATTGTGCTGTCAACTCGAATGTGGTACAATGAAAATCACATTTTCATACAAAAATTTCACGTAAGGCAAGGTCTTTACTAGGTACGTGTAAAACAATATGAACACAGTGTAATTTAGTAGGGAAGGCAGTGAGAACATCCACCGTATACCGGTGGCTAACAATCTAATATCAAAATTTGTATTTTGAACCGTAACAAGATATTTTTAAGACAAAGAATTTTCAATCGTTAACGGGTATAAAAAGCGACAAAAACAGACGCGAATAGAACAAGGCTCCTACTATAATCAATTAATATTAATAGATATATATTAAATTCTTACTAGACAATAGACATGATAAAGACTCCTTAACAAATAACTTAAAGGGGTTACAATAACAGTGCCATCAAATATAAATATGCAATGTATAAGGTACCATTCGTTACAGTATAAGCTCTAAATGAGAACGATCAAAATGTTGGCATTCGAACATGTTACCTTGTCAAACTATACATAATAACGAGAGGAAATAAATATATGGGAGGCTCTAATATTTAAATAATTAATAAATTACGTTGCTAGTCTCAGCGGCGGTCTAGTTTTATAAACATTGTTCAGATTACATCTGACCGGCGCGGTAACGAGACTTGTAAATAAACCGATTTGAAAAATCAACATGGTTAGACCGTCTGGAATGTACTCAATTAAGACCCGACACCTTTCAGGCGGATAAATAAGTATACACAAATAAATAAAATTATAATAAAATAAATCGACGGTTCTCAGTGCACGCCGCACTCGATACGCCAGTGTACGAATAAACCGGATACAATAGGTACAGATAAGGCAAAGAATAAAATATACATGTACAGATGCAGTAAGCGAACGCGTTAGCTACCTAACATTAGTTAACACGAATCCCTAGCCTTAATCTAGACACGATACAATTGAGATAGTGTCGCGCGGCCGCGAGACCACTGCTGCCGGCGATTCCGTCTCTTACATTTTGGCGTTATACAACTCAGGTCGCAAGTACAAGCAGTGGTCTCGGAGCCGCACTCGTCCAAAATCAGAAACATTAACTTGGGCATAACTTCAATGTGATCGGTGCAAAACTTCAATAAAGTCAAATATTGAAAAATTCAAATACGAAAAAAGCCTATAAAGAGGACTTATTACTACGTAAGAGAGACATTTTACTGACGGGTCGCCCCGTACTAAATTCATTCGAGATTGAGAGATGTACCGTAGTGGATGGTCACGGATAATTATGTCTGTACCCTTAGTACCAGTTTGTTTTACGTTTAAAGTATTCGAAACGAGTACGCGTTCGGAACTCTGATTGGCCGGCGCCAATGAACCAACCAATCAGAGCACCGAACGCGTACTCGTTACGATTACTTTAAACGTAAAACAAACTCGTACTAAGGCCTCTGAATGACAAAACTCTATACAATAAACGTTACCGACTCCATCGATACCACTGTACTGAGGAGCCGTTAGACAAACATCCAAGTGTTGAGGGACAAATTGAGATTTTGTAACTCCTAATAACCGAGATTCTTTCCGAATATCATTACGCCTACTATGTTACAGTCAGACATGTCAGCACACACCACGCACACTTCAAGCGGCTTTTATACAAGTTGATAATATTGACCATCTACATCTATATGTGTTACACAAGTGATATTAGTAGGGTGAGCTGAATGAGTGATTAGAACAACGTCTCTGACGATTCTCCACTGGACTCCATCCGAAGCCAACTTTCAATACTAGCTTTGTTACAACGTTCTACTAGCAAATATATACTCGTTCAAAGACCACGATGCGTTTAGTTGCGTGAACTGACACCAAAGGTGGGATTAAGTGACGTAAAGGGGAAGGGGGAGGACAGGGAACCACCGACGCGACGTCTCCGCTAACAGAGATCACAACACCGAACCACGCCTCTCTTTAACTCTGCAAAGCACCACAATATGCCCCGGTGGTCAAACTGCGCAATTATATAAAAATATCTTTTTTCTTAATAAAATATACATTTTTTAGATACTCAAATGTCCTTACCATTACCTACGCGTTTTAAAAGTTTGCAGCTACACTTATTCATAAGAGAATAATAAGTCTTAGAGAAGTACAACGCAAAGAAGAGTTCTTAATGTTTAACTAAAATATTAAATAGATTTCCTAAGTACAGCTGCAACATTGTATCACTCGGTAATGGGTAACGACATCAATTAATTGAACAAGCTTGGTCAACGCTTAAAAGTACGTACATTTTAGAATGACGAAGATATACTGAATTTTATAACAGTCATACGTTCGATTCGTAAAATAAAAATCTATATGGTCCATAGCGTGTTACAAAGAGCGATTAGAAAGATATGCATTTGATATAAAAATAATCGATATACGAATTTGGCTTGCGAACTGACCATTGGCTGTACATCGCGTATACTTCGACCCGATGTTTGTAGACCAAACCTTATATCCTTACTTACAATAATTCCCTACGCCAATACTACGAAGCCAGTTAAGTCCGCAACGAGCGCACATGACCACCGGAGTCCAGAGCTAATTACCTTATTTTCTGTGACAAAAATAGCTTTTCTTATCTCAAGTCTTGACCAGCTACCGTATGGTTAACTACACGTAATTGATATCGAGCCGTAACATCGCCTACTTACTAACACAAGCCGAGTATCTCGACGTTCAGGTTTTGGAACGCGGCTACCGTTGTACCTCCTTAAATATCAGGTATTCTGTTCTCTTGCAATATCCAATTGTAATCAGTGACGGTGACTGGGAATTAATGAGATTTGGAGGAAGTTTATATTAGGTTCTACAAGACTTATAAATGTTTGCGATGGCTCCCAAAACCTGAACGCCAGTGCCAGTTTGACTATTTCTCATTACTTAAAATCAGTCTCATAAATAACGAAATGTTCAACAGACTTAGAGACGATCTCTACGATCTCAGGGAGCATAGTCAATAAAACCGTATAGCCTTGTGTATGGACACTAACAGCCGGCCGAAACAGAATAGTAGGCTTCGTTATCAGCTTACACTAATGCTTACACCCTAATAAATTTCAACTAAATACAGTCACTGTCATTAGCTGCGTTCTGTTCACCGATGTAAAGCTTTGGACAAATAGATGTCAACTCGCGCGACGTCACACTGGGAAATCTTTACCGAAGTTCTCGATATCACTTTTAAAATTGGATAAAGGCACAGATGTTTTTCCCGCTCTACAGGTGTTCATAATTGACCGCTACCTTTACATCGCGCGAGTTACATCTATTTTCGACCATCCAACACTTGTAAATGGCAGTGCAGTGTCAGAACATCTCCGCGTCTTACAAATAGCTATGAAGCTTATAGTATCGATGGTCGTAGCTGTCGAAAAAATCGAATTTCTATCGAGTCATAGAATGACATCGTGAAATGTATAAAGTAAAATACAACATAATATTGCGAATTTGAAATGAAAGTGTCGACTGGTGACGCGATATTATTTCCCACTGGCCTGGCGTGATGTAGCGGCCGGGCGCAGTTACACGTAGGTGGGCGGCTGCGGCGCGGGCGGCGGCGGCAGCACGCGCGCGCCCGGCACGTACTGGCCGATGAACGACCCGTCCTCCGTGAACCGACCTGCGACACGTACATTACTAATTAACACCATTATATACATACACAGTAAACATAACGAGTAAATATAATACGATCTTAATTGTAGGTTTGTATAAGAAATAAAGTCATATCAAAATGAAAAAACATAAACATTTTAGATCGATTTAACCGGAAACCTTGTATTAAATCAGATTTACTTTAACAGTTTAACAAGACATAATGTTATCTAGACATTGCATTAATAAAATAAAAAAACATAAAAACAAACATAGTGACAAAATATTGCAAAAAAAAAACAAAAGAAAAATAAGCAAAAATAAAATCATACCTTACAAAACAAAATAAAAACGGCGCTCGTGCAGGCAAAGAAAAAGAGGAGAGGGACGGAATGAAGGAATAATATAAACATCAAAACAAATGCAAAACTTATAACAAAGCACGCTAATAAACATTTAAGTAGGAAATATTCACTCCAAATAATATCATTTGTTTCTTTACAACCTAATATTACTTACATACAAATTATTCTGTACTTATAACCTAACCTAAGCTGCGAACGTTACTTGCGAAGGGTGACGGAATACTCAGTGACAAAGCCTTTATTTAAAACTATTTCTGAAATAGTGCAATAAAGACTGGACGCCCATGTTTCTAATATAACTACTTTCATACTAATTTTACTTTTATAGTACAAAAAATGTGTCTAAAACGGCAGAATACTGCCTAGATCAATAAAAAAAAGATTCACAACGATATTCACAGATCGAAAATTATTTGAAGAGAATTTTGGCGGGCGACTTCACCTTCCAATGTCATATATTGACCAATCAGATCGAAGAACAAAATATTTTGCCTAACGCGATTGGCTGCCAGTACCGGACTGTTTTATGTTGCATTATAATGTGATGCAATGGCACTACGTTACATTCAAGCGTACAAGAACGTAGCTATACTTGGAGCGCTTGTTTCAAAGGCTTTTGAGTTTTGAGATTAGTGTTTACTGAGATAGACTACATTTTATATTGTTCTAAAAGAAAAAAGTTCTAAAATTAAAGTGCATTGATGACCCTAATGGACGATAGTCCACATTTAAATTTTTTGTCTAATATTAGACGGACTTATATCCTAAAATCCTACTTAATATCGTTATCTCAGTAAACACAAGTCGTTTTTATAAGAGTGCAAGGTTTTGGGGAATGGGTAAGGGGTTTAGACGAGGGTGGCGAAGGCCTGCGAAGCGGAATCAGTCTGTCCGGTGGTCGGGGGCCGTCGTTTGCGGCCATATTGTCCGATGAAAGACCCGTCCTCGTTCATACCCGCTGCAAAGTTCACATGCTTTATGCTCACAGCCAACGACACACATGCTTTACATAATTGGGAAACAAAACTCACTGACCAAAAAGTATGACTTCACACAAAATGAGACTTTTTGATCAGTTCAACAACAAAAATAAAAGCTATCGTGCAAACAAGGAAAAATCTTAGAGAATCCGTGCAAATAAGGACACAGACTACAAAGAGCTTTCAAAATCGAACAATTGTAGTTGTTAAACAAAGGCTAGAAATTAAAATCTACTTCAAAAACAACAAGCTTAATTAATTAGCTCTAACAAAAATAATCAATGCAAAGAATTGAATGACAACTAAGAAATACGTCAAAGGTATTTCCTTTTGCAGTTTAGTACATAGAAATGTATTATACATACCGGTTTCGCCTTCTCCATACTCAGCCATTGAGTCGGTGTCGCTCTCAGGGCCAGGCTTCGTGCCGCTACTCATCGAGTGACGAGACTTGTTATCAAGACTGGAATGGACAAAATATGAATTAAGTTATGATGTGTATTATAAGTAAGCTAAAAGGATTTATGTCGGCTTTACCAGTTACATTTTGATGAAGTATAAGGTTTATTAGGTGTTGGGGTTTGATGGTAATACAAAGTTATGACATTATTTACTAAAAGCCGTGTCACATTTAAATGTATACTTTTGCACACACTTTTAGAGAAATGATAAATATGATGTTCTACCATAGTGTTAATTAAACGTGAAGTGAACAGATCAGTCTAGCATTTCTTTTAGAGGGTTTTTATAACTGTATAAATAAATGATGACTGTCTCGTTGGTCGAGTCGTCGCATGTGCGACTACCGGGTAAGAGGTCTCGGGTTTGATTGCTGGCTCGAATAAAGTATTACTGGGTTTTAAAAAAAATCTAAATCTCAGTAGTAGCACGGAGTCTGGAATTGTGCCCACTCCGGTATATGGCAATAGACTAACCCTCTATAACATTAATAGTGAAAGTAGGTGTTACATTGTACAGTGGTATTAAGTGTCGTAATGTGCACTTCCCCTTAGGGGATAAAAGGGGCGTGATGTAAAGGAGTACGTACGGGTGCGTGTACTCGTGGAAGCCCCCCTCGGCGTAGTCCCGGCGGCCGTGCGCCAGCTCGCGGTCGTGCACGTCGTACTTGCCGCCTCGGTTGCGGCGCACCACGCACACCAGCACCAGCACCAGCAGCAGGAACGCCAGCGCCAACATCACGCCGATGAACCAGCCAGCCGACGCAGTCTTGTCCTCGCCCGGCTCCACGATCGGACCGTCTGCAACACATACTCCGTTACACATCTCCTTGATTCCGCCGTCAACGTCTCAACGATCATGGTCGAAATATACATTATACTAAGAAAATATCTAAGATTGTTACTCACCAATAGTAGTGTCAACATCCTTAATCTCACTAGAACTGAAGTATTCTCCGTCATGTGCCGTGAGTTTGACCTCGTACACCTGTCCCGGCTCCAGCCCCGTCAAGATCACGTAGTCATCGTCCGTCACCTCGTTAGTCTTCGACCAGTCAGGGTGACCCTTCAATTTGTACCATGCGACGAAATGAGTACCTGCGTGACCATCCAATGACGGGATCCAACGGACCAAGATATGAGCAGTTCCCTCCTTAGCCGGCAATGTACTCGTCTCAAACACTGGGATATCAGGCTTAGCAGTCACCACTGACTTAGTAGATTGCTCCACATAGTACTTGTCTCCTTCACCAGCCTTAGTCTTAGCTCTGATCTCAATGCGGTATTTCGTGTTGGGTTCCAAACCAGCCAACTTTGCGCGGTCGAATTTAGGATCGATCTCCTTCTTCCTTTCTTGAATGGGTCCCAGAGAAGTTCCAGTGACCTTCTGGTAGTAGATCTTGTAGCCAGTGAGGACTCCGTTCTCGTCGACAGGTTTGTCCCATTTCAGGAGCATAGCTGAGGAGCCAATAGGGTATACTTCGAATGATTTGACCGTACCAGGTTTGCCTTCAGGAGTATGGAAGCTGAGAGTATCACTGGCAGGACCATTGAAACGGCCGTTGTATACCAAAATTCGAGCATTGTTCTTCTTGTATGGCTTGAATTTACTGACTAGAGCACTGGAAGCGTCAGCCTTGACTAGGATTTCTTTGAGCCTGTCCTCTTCGCCATCGACCCAGGTTTGGATTTTGTAACCTTTGAAGTGTCCTCGTACAGATTCTGGTGGCACTGGGTTCCAGTTGAGTAGTGCAGTAGTGCCGGTGGTGACCTGTACGAGTGTAAAGTTCTGTGGAGCCTGCATTGGCATATCTTCACCGGACCAGCCGATGACTTCCACAGGCGTCACGTTAGATGTACCTTTGTAGTTCACTGCGGTAACCTGGAGACATTCAAAGAAAGTTAGTGATTACAAATTATTTCTTATGTCAGTATCAAAAAATGTAATAGGTATTGTTTATATAATTATATTACCTTGACTTTGTAAGGTACGAAGGTGGGTGTATTAAGTACGGTGTACTCAGTTTGTTGCCAGTCGCGCACTTGTTCCTCGACCCAGGGCTGGCCTGTGATGTTGCGGCGCCAAGTCACCAAGTAGTAGAAGCCGGGGCCATTGTGTTCGATTTGGGGCATTTTCTAGAAGGAAACAAGGCGTTAGTCTTAAATAAACTGTATGTATCATGTTCGAACGTCTAAATTGGTTTGCAAAGGTTTAGTTTTTCGATTAGATAGGTGTAATCTCTGTTTAGTACTTTAAGTGTCTACTAACCGACCAAGAGATGACCATATTGGTGGGGTCTGAGCCCTCTCCCACTACATTGTCAGGGTTCTTGTAGGGAACGTCTGGCTGTGTCGTACAGACATCGGAATGTGACGATGGAGTTGACGGTCCGATCTTGTTCCACGCGCTCACTCTGAAATACGAAAGACATTTATTTGTAAGTGTTCTATTCATAAAAGAAGAATCTTTCCTATACTTATCATTGTCAATGTAATGTTAGCTTGAATATTAATTAGCACAAGAAATCATAAAAAAAACAGAGTAATTATCAAAATTTTCAAAGTAACTTTTGATTTTAACTACAAGCTCTTAAAATTAAAGGTAATTTGATAAGTAACAAATAGAACATGAAAAATACCTGAAAGTGTAATTAGCCCAAGGACTAAGCTGGACGGTCCATGACGTGTCAATAGCGGGTACATTATCACTGGCCACATCCCACGTGTCGGGTGTGAAGGTAGTGTTGTACTGTATGGAGTAGCGCAGGATGGGGGCGCGGTTGTCTCCCATGGAGTGCCAGCGGAGGGTGGCCGTCTTCTCGTGGCATTCAATTCCGTCTAACGCTGGAGGGTTCGGCTTGTCTGGAAGAGAAAAATATTCGTTAATCAAAATTGTAATATTACTTTCGACAGCATACAAATTAGACACATTTAAGAGTCGCTCAATCATTGTAATCTCAACTGTCGCATGTCTGAAGTTTTAAAAGATATTTAACCAGATTTAAACTTAGTAGATAATATCTTAAATACACATTCATTTACATTCTCCTGTAAATAGGGATTATATTTCTAATCCTTCCTAACTAAACGAGGTCGAAGGCAACTAAAATTGTTGCGGTTGAAATCAGAGACAGGTAAACTTCTAAGACAGGAATTACAAGCAAAAGTTTAGAAGCCAGTAGCTTACGAGTTTAGAAACCACAACAGTGGGCAGTTACTACAAACTTGTTTTGAACTCTAAAATAAACGTTCTAAGTTTCATTATACGTTAAACATGTTAGAGCAATCATAACCGAGTTAGTTCTGGCAAACTGCCGAATAGTTCAGAGGTTTTCGGAACAGTGCAGTTCAGGTTACGACACATCGTAAAGTTTGTCCGAGTTACGTCATTATTATTATATTGCCGAATTTCCCTGGAGATTGAGAATATTTGTTGAAGGAATACTTTGAGGAGCAATATTGGTAGTTCCGAAAGTTGTTTTATTGTTATGTTTCTTTTAATTGCATATTTTAATGACACAATTTCATTCTTGCGATGCTATTTGGCTTGCGACAACTTGTTTGTGATACAGCATTTATTATTTGAATAAAATAAATAATTTTTTAAAGTTGACCATACACATTTCATAACGAGAGAACTAGAGCGATTATTGGTACCAATTGTTAACAATATTCTTGTTATTATACATAGATTAACATACCTTGTACAGTAAGAGTAGCTTGCGCCCTGGCCTCATCAATAGCAGTCCTGGCAATACAGGTGTACTCGCCAGAGTCCAGCTCAGTGGTGTCAGAGATGAGTAGAGAATAGTCATTAGTCATGCGGAACCGGGGCTGGTTCTCGAAGTCTATCTGCTGTCCATCGTTGAGCCAAATGATCTGCAGCTTGAGGGAGTCGTCTGCGTTAGCGTTACAGCGGAACGTGGCTGAAGAACCAGCTGCTACTTCGTAATGTTCTGGCTTGTCCGTGATTACCGTGCGCTCTGTGGAAATGGTTTGGTTTTGTTTAGTATTATGATCCGACTTCTTTTTGCACTTGACTTGACAATCTTCTCCCTTTAAACAAGTTGTTTAAACTGTCAAACACCAAGCGGTCACCGGTGACCGCGACCTATTGTTCTTTAATTGTGTCTATAAAACCGGTACTCGACGAGTTAATGTTTAAAAACTTACTCTTAACGTCGAGGGAGCCGAAAGCGGACTTCTCTCCGAACTTGTTCTTCGCATAACACTGGTACGTTCCCACGTCCGTGTAGGACACGTCGCGGATCACCAAGTCGCCGTCAGCAGTTATGTTGTATCTGGGAAAAAAAGGAAATTATTAAACTTTATACTTTAACAATTAAAGAAGAAGAAGATATGGTATCTTTTATATACTTTTGTTTAAACATTTATCAACAGACATACGAAATCCTTATTGTGTATTTTCTGACATAATCTTTGGTCCAAATTCCCTCTGTTACGTTATTATTGTTATGTAATAAACAATAAATCTGTTATGCTTTATCATGGCATTCAAAATGAGACACCTTGTTATTGAGTGGGTAAGAATTTTACTTTCGAACGAACCAAGCAGCCAAGTATCAGAACCCCTGGGGATTAAATCTAAAGAAGCACGTACTCAACTAAATCAACGTATACAAAAACACTTTAACTATAAACGAACTATTTTTAACTAACAAGAAAAAAGTTATCTATAAAAAGCCGAATAAGTACCTACAATTCTAAGCAAAACAAAGACAGACAGAGATACTTGCCAAAACACCGACATGACCTTTAACAAACGATCCCCTATTTATAAATAAATCTCCGTACCTGGACATTTATTTACAGATTAACCTCTGCCCTTAAGGTCCACAATCGAACTACTTATTTAACAAGATTAAGAGAAAACTTGGAAGCAATCACTCTTATTGGTTATCGATCAGAAGTTGTATAGAAAGGCTACGTAGTAAGCTTCAAGGAATAAAGTTATTTGATCGATCTGTTCTATGACTGATGAAGTGATGATATTAGTAATTCAATGACCTGAACTGTTTTCATTACACATATCTAGTGTAAGAGCTGATATATATTTCTTGAGCTTGGAAAACTCCTAAAGTGGCCATATAACCAAGACCTATTTACGAGAACTTTATAGAAATATCGTTGTTACAAGTGTTCTCAAAGCAAGATAAATAGTATAAATACATTTCCTTCTTTCCTTTAGCGAACCCTTTTCATGGAAAAGGGGAAGAGAAATCCGATAATATATTGTTGAGCGAGCACGTCTCGGGGACGTAGCGTAGGTACCATATTCTTGTTGAGCTGTGCGCTCTAATCGTGTTTGTGCAATGTGAGAAACCGTGCAACGGGTGCGAGCAATTCTGTCGCGGAAACAGGAATATGCAAGGCTGATTTGAATCTAAGTAGGTTGTGTTGTTATGTAAATACGACGTTTAGAAGGTGTGTAGATCGATCGTAGTATGTTCGGATTCTGTTTGGATGATTCAGAATATACTTATGTACGGCAAGCACTACGTATAACTGCCTTAAATACATCATTATGTAAGTGTTATTGAACTGGCTACTAGAATGGAGACGAATGGCAAGATACCAGCTGGTTCTGTTCAAAACACATCCATTACAAACATTAGATCAGTTTAGATCGTATACTTACTTTCCACCAGTGACGTCAACGTCATCCTTCATCCATTTGACGATGGGTTTCGGCGCTCCGAACACTCTGCACTTAAGCACAGCCTCGGAACCGTCTACCCTGGTGAGATTCTCTGGGCCTTCCTTGATTTCTGGCGGGATTGCTGTACAGACACAAAAACATTGATTTATTAAATATTCATCTTATGAAGCTTTTCAGTTCCTGGCTGCACGGTTACAAGTAGGCGCAGTGGATGGAAATCCGACTGCTGTTCAAAACTGAGTGATCCACAAATTGTTGTCCAGGTCTGGGTATTATGCGAAATTGTATGTTTGTAAACGCACCCACGACACAGGTGAAAATCCTGGTGGGGCTAAGGTTTATTTTTAAATATTGTTCTAGTGCGTGCAAAAACTCGTACGTATATTATAAAACAAACCTATAAATATCCCTTTTTTTGTTCTACGTTGAGAGTAGCAATAATACGGACATCTTATTATCTAATTAATAACGCGTAAATAGTCTTAATGATGGGAACTCCAGCTCCATTTAAAGGCGATCATTACATTTACAGCAAATAAGAGGCCTCTAAGGGATCAATTACAATTCAGCGAAGGTTCTAATTTTCGTCGATTCTATCGCAGGGAAACTTGAAGATCCCTCTTTTGATTAATTGGTCACGTTTTGTCCCTCGCTTTCATGCTATTAGTCACCATTTCTGATATCAAGATCTATTCAAATACTCCAACGAGTAATAACGTTTTCATTGTCTAAATATTAAGTAGCAATATTATACTGTACTTTTGCTAAAAACACTCCTGTTTACCACAACGTGGACTAACAAACAGGCACATTTATAACAATATACAAGATGCTAAGTGCATAATAATATCCGTGGGCAATATTTCTCGCGGATGGCGGGTGGGCGTGTGAATGTGTGCCGCGGTTCACGAGGATGTGTCCAATAGATGACTACTAGAGACAATCTCTTTATACACATGAATTCGCAAATTGCGGCCCCAGACTGTAATATTTGGGGCTCTTGTTGAATAGCTAAGTATGTCGTACGCTTGCTCGGTCAGACATCAAACGTTTTCTTTGACGTCAGTGAGATATAAACTGGTCAATGGTCATAGATATAAAGCATATTTACAAAGTAATAAATTCTATTTCTGTTAAGCTCATTTTTTATCATCATAAAGCGAAGCAGCCTGTCGAAAAAATCCTGAAGCGGACGAAAACTCCCACAAATATTCATGATCAAAGAAAATTACATCGATATTCACCGTTCAAAATACGTAGAAATAATCAGGATCGGGTGTACTTATAAGAAATTATTTTTCGAACGTTTTATTTGATACTCGTTCAAATAGCCGGCGATAAAATGGGGGAAAATGGTAAATAATATTCGAGGGCGCAATATTATGAAAGGAGCCAATCAAACTAAGTGAGGAACGAGGACACAAATTATCATTACCTAATATTGTGCGTTACGTTAAATATTGTACGAAAATAAGGGAATAAATCCAGTTATTTTTGTATTCCTGATTTGTTTGTTCCCGTATAATTATATGGATGTCGATTTGTTATGGTAACCGCATTAGGGCGATTGTGAAAACAGATGCGTTTGTTTTACACAATCCAAAAATACATGTGATTCTTTTCCTGAGTGTTGAGCTGGAATGCAAAACAATATTTGTACAAACATTGGCATCGCACCTTTTTAGCTGCAGGCGTATAACACAAACATTGGAAACAGCATTGGCTTTGTCTGTTATCAGAATGGGCACGGCTGACTACCGGTAGTGACATAACGCAGTATTCCCCGTACTTTGCAACTGTCCATCTTAATCTCCCACTTGTACTTCCTACTTGGCCCTCTTTAGTCGTTTCATTCATTCTATTAAGAGTTTGGTTTAACGAAGACGTATGTTCCTGCTTCGCTCAGCAACGTCGTAATACAAAATCACGAATAAGTACTTTTTAATAGAAACTCCCTGATCTCGTGATTAAGGAAATTGAATTTGGGGTGCGGATCGTAAGCTAAGCGTCGAAAAAATTATCTTCAAAAGAATACGAGATCGATTTATTATTGAAATAAAATATCTGTACTTTCTGCAAAAAGGAATATAAATGTTTTCTTAACAAATAATGACTACATGGTTGTAAATTGCTTCTCCGTTTACACATGTCGAAAGATTCTCAGAGGTCGCTTGCAAACTTATGAGAATGTTTTCGCAAACATACAAACATACTGCATTTCCAATAAAATAAAATATGATCGAACGGCATATCTTTATCGAAGAATTACTTAATTTAATAGACCTATAGAATACATTATGAGGGGGATCAGGGGCGGACAATACGACGTAAAAGGAATTTCCGATGTCACAGGCTTCTGTGTTCATTATTGTGGATTTTGGGGTTGACTCACAGTCAGAGACACAGACACAATAGGTTATTGAACTCGACTGGAGGAAAAAAAATCGGATATTAATCCACACCCGCTGACGCACCCATCTTTGTATTACAGGGGTTAAATTCAAATGTTCACAGGTAAATTGGGGTGCTACTGTAATTTACTATACCATATTGCGCGGGAATGGGTGTGAGATAACGATCGCGAAAAGGACTTTAAAGAGATTGCTCCTTTTACGTTTACATTTTTACGTGTGTTGAACAGATTTTTTTCGTCTATTGTTACTGGCTAGCAGCTGTTCCAACATGCAGTTGTTTATACGGATCAAAAAGAGGAACGGATTTCCTAGTGTGATATGTGAAATTCGATTACCATTAAATCCCTGATCTAAACATGTTTCCTATTTCCCAATTAGCCACGGGCGTTTTCAACGTTATCCGCTCGTTAATTTTACGATTACAGATTTAATCGCATTTCATCGTAAACAAGCATAACAAATCTTTGAAAATAAAGGAAAAAAAAACAATAATTAAGCTTATAAAGAATAGTTTATCAAGTAAATCGAGACATATCTTTTTTCAACCCCCAAAGGGCAGGAGTTACGTCATAAGCTCACGCTATGGAGCAATTAATGGGGTGCAGCTGCATACTACCGCCATAAAAGGTAAAGCAAATTTTGTTTCGACTGTGGCCGCAAGGAATTTAATCTTAATGCAGACTTAACATGAACTGACTTTTTGGACACTAGGATCAAAAAATGTGGTAGGAAAGGAAAAATTTAATGACATACTACTTGTTTTAGCAATTGCTCACTAAAGTGTATGAATTCCAAGGTTTTGCATATTTCAGCATTTTTTTCTAATCAGTTCTAGGACTAGCTACTACCAACCAACTAAGAAGCTAAAGACTAAAACGATTTCAGTAATCACGTATTTCTGAGTAAACTATTATAGACTTGCTCTATATTTCTACGTTGATACATGTGATAAATCCGTGACATATTTGTAGAGGACCAATTAAGACGTAAGGTCGTACGTGACTTCGCGAAGTTTTAAACGTTCGGCTGATTAATTTCTGTGTCTTGTTATAAAATCGCATTGAAGATAATCTAAGGAACATCTGAGATAGTGTAGGCGTGTTTTATATCGATTTGGATATGTCCAGCATTTACAGATGTGTGGGCCACGTGAAATACAGTAATGCGTAATAACCATATGGCAGGAAAACGTAGTGACTCTCAAAATGTTTTTGACAGTGTGAGTGACACATATCTGCAATGTCAACTTTCAAAAGTGGTTGCAAATACTGTAATCGAAATAAATGCTTCGACTTTGACTACAGTAATTGCTGACCTTGCAAGAGGTCAATGCTACGATTTTGTCCAATAGCCTGAGAACTTTTCGGGGAAATGCATATTGTATAATAAATTCCGTTTGACTCATAAAACATTACAAATTGCTTCTTAAAAGGCGAACCTGTAGAACCCGTCTTACATACACACGCCATAAAATAAAAACAGCATGCCTTCTGCAAATCGATCTCACGCAGTTAAATCATTACTCGATCTTTACCGATTACATTACGATCTGTTGTCGGTAACTAAAGTATCATGCCGTGGTCCCCCGCTAAGAAAAGCCCGCCCCTCCTTTTCCGATGACTAAGGACTTTTATCAAATCAGGCACGAAAGCTTGTCTCGACCGATAAAATCGCTGTGAAAAATATTTTCCTGTTGTTTTTTAACACTAGAGTTCTTTGCACGCTTTGATGTTGATCGATGTTTGAAACAAAGGAAGTCAGAAGGAAAGCTTCATTAGAGTTTGAAATGCGCAAATGGCTCATTTTTGCACAATGAATTTCATAGTAACAAAATCACAATTGCAAACAGGATGGACTTAACACGGCTATTATGTGGGAACAATTGAAACTGCAGTAATTTCTCTTGTCTATGGAGCCGGGTGGTGCACAATGTCAATACTCGGTCGCGGTTGGGTCGAGGCATCCCGGGCTATCTAGGTCATGGCTGGGAGCTGCGTAATCCCGGACCGTGGACCGTGGATCCTACATTTTGTATGCAGTAAAGGTATACTAATTTGTACGGTGAGCCAGGGATTTAAATGAACGTTGGAAATACGTGTTGTTTATTTGTACTAGCAACGCGTTAATGAACTAAATTCATGCTGCGGTCAAACCAAACGCTCTGCAGATAATTTTGGAGCGTGACGGTAAATTACATTGTTTTGTAAGGGTATTTGAGGATGAGAAATGTGAATAAGGTAATTTGAAAGTGCTTCGATGAACTATACGATGAGTAAACTGTAAACTTTCTTCATATACAAATAGGGTTCTTATCGATAAACGTGCTTTATCTTGCTGTGACTTTATTCGGCATTAGCCATGATAAAGTTCACGTTTTTAAAAGAAACATATCATACTGTGTGTTTTAATGAAAATAAATAAAATCTAAAAGATTTAAAACATTTAAATACACATGAACATTACATTTGTGTCGCTCTATCATTGTGATTGCATGTCGATGCAAATAATGAACAAAAACACAAATAGAACAAACCGAATCGTTTAAAAACAATTGAAATACATGGAATTTTAAAGTAAATAAGGTGTGCTATAACTGCTGTGTTTAATATTACTCTGATAATATTTTACTATGGATGTAAATCTAATTAATTAAGCCTTTTTATTAAATTACAGTCGAAGGCGAGTCACGCAACGGAACACAATTCAATTGGTTGACGCTTTCCGTGTTATGGAAACTTTTCATTTCGAAAATAAGTAAATACGTAATTCGAGACTAATACATTGTTACTATGCTAAATACATAGACACGGTTGAGAAAACAAAGCATCTAATTATTCGACCACAATAAATTCTCTAAATGTTTTTATTACCTACATTGGACTGGGATTGATCTGTCTGCAAGCAATTTCATCTCAATAATCGTGTCACGTTAAACACTTAATATGAAAGTGGGTCTTATAACGACTGCCACCCGACGCATACTTGGGCTCCTTTATCGAGTGTCATCATACTTGAGCGTCGGATGAATGAGACTGCGACCGTGACATCATCATATCAGCTTAGGTAATAATTAAGAAACGTATAACTGTACTAGACCGCTATCTGAGAGTCTAGTAATTAAAATGGCCTTTGAGCGCAATTAAATATTTCGCGTTACACAAATATAAGACTTGGGTGAAGGACATAACGTCCATTAAAGTATATTAAACACAAACTACTGTGACAGAAAATTATACAGCGGATATCCTTAGCTTTGAAGCTTTTATAAATGTTTTTGCAATTAAAAAGTCCTTTGTGAAACTAGTTTTTGCAGTGGACGATAAAAGTCATTTCAATATAAAAGCAATTTGGAATTTTGCTTTGAGGGAAGGACGGTAAAGTCCCGCACTATTGAGTTAGGAACCCCAAAACATGGACAGGAAAAGGACCCTAAACAACTATTGCAAATGGGAATCGATTTGGTTCTCCCCTGCTCCGACCATTCGTGTGGCGAATCGATAACGATTTCGCGGTATCGTTACAGCTACACATACATGTGCACACAAAAGTTACAAGTATAGATCCCTCACTATAAAAGCAGTGGGCTGTACAAATAAATAACGTAACTATTGAGTAACATTCCAAGAAGGAAATACACAACAAGTTCTCTAACGAACTCTTAGTACAAGGAAAACTTTCAGCCTCATATCCATAATATTTACATTTGCTTAATTCTATAAGAGCAGTAGACTGCGAACTGCGATAAGTAGAATAGTTATATCGATAAATAATATTTCAGTACGAGCATCGATCCCTCCCGCATTATGTATCGCAGACGAACTGTGACGTCTGAAGAGCAACTTTTTCAAACATAATAAAGATTTATTCCCAGTATTTATGAGTTCATCTAGAAATGACTGGGGCGAATGCCAAGTGGAACAACTACACATGAATAAATCTCGACTATATTTTTTGCTACGTAAGACTCTATTTGGGTTGTGTGAGTTTTAACAAGTTTATGTACTTAATATTAGGGGCATTATTAACTATGAGTGACAGTTTATGGTGGCTGGAGCTTTGTCGTTTCCTTATAAAGTAGTGGTAGACTTGTTAGGGAGCAATAAAATTGTGGTCTACATTGAACTTGTTTCTTTAAGTTTTGTTAAGTGTCAGGGGGTCGTTGAAAACTGCAGTCATATATTAAGTTGGCAAGAGGAATGTTGCACGCATGAACGTGAAACTCCCCAAGTTTCAGAGCTACTGAATGAATTACAGCAGCGGGTGATTTAACGGCTGTTGCTACCATACGTTATGGGAATAGTTTAGAGTTATTTACTAAAGTATATCATTGTTAACTGCATCATATATTTGCACATGCCTAGTTACTTGTATGTTATTAAATGTCGACCTATGCCTTTAATATAGAAAAGATTAAACACTAAGAGTAAAGTTTAGTATAAAATCTAGGACACGGAGGCGCCATTGTCGGGACAAGGCGCCGGCTTGGAAGTAAAGTATACAGCATTACCGGCATAGATTTGCAAATATTTCATGTCCCTACTATAGACTGTAGTAAAGTAGAACACTGCAAGTGGGACAACACACGTGTGATAACTAGAAATGTGAGAGTATGAGGGGATTAGCTTTCGATGCGACGCAGCTATCGATTGACGAGTTTCTTCGCTGGACAGCTATACACACAAACATGTCGTCCACCTTTACTTGGAAGTTACACAAGTATCAGATAAGTAATGCATACAGTGCGACACCGACAACCGACGTACTAATTTCTAACAGTTCTTTCACGCTTTTGTTATATCAAAAATGTAAAATGACTAACAATGGCATGACATATTTCGATACGCTTTTCATGCTGTGATTAAATCGTATCTAAATATAGAAATTACTCTCTCGTACATTATTGCGCTATATACATTTTTTCAAACGTTACTTCGCACTAGTATATTCTGCACATTTAGACCCGGAATTACAATTTGTGGATCCTACAAAAAGTTGTTAAGGGCGGGAATCGCGTGATTCGTTACTCACGTCACTCAGCAAACGAGTTCTAAATTAATAAAATAAGTACTCACATTGGACGTTGATGTAGACATCTTTGTACACGTATCCGATGGAGCTGGTGGCGTTACAACCGTAGTTTCCAGTATCTTTCTTCACAAGGTTGGTGATGACAATGCTGTTGCTATTCACTTGTCTCCTTGAGTTCGGTTCTGCCTGTTCTATGGGCTTTCCGTTATGGATCCAGGTAATCTTCGGCACTGGAGTACCACCAGCCTCACACTTGATCTCAGCTGTTTCGCCTTCTGCGAGGTTCTGGAATTCCGGCTCCACCGTGAAGAATGGTGCGGCTAAGGGGGATAAAACAAAATTATGTTAATTTTGAAAGAAAGCTAATAATTAAAGGGTTATCGGGGTTCCGGCTTGAAGAGCAGAAGTAGGAACGGGATGGTTTTTATTGTTTAAGAGTCTGACACTCCCTCTCGGGAGGACAAATAGGATGATATTTCCCCCTCAAAAAAAAAATTAAATCTGATTGGGATTTCAGACCTTTAGACTCCATGATTCATTTATTTAACACACGTCATTTATTACAGGTTACGTGCAACATTAGCATACATATTAATGTCTGACTCTCTCCTCTTAGTTTCATAAAGTTTATCCACGTTCCTAACATCAAACTAACGTGAGTTTAATGCTACACGTGTTGGTAATCAAACATACATTTGTCATGTGACATAGGTTTAGGTACCTATGATTAGTATTGAACCGTATTCCAACCTAATTGCTCAAAACATAAGTCAGAAAAATGCTCAACATTTCCTTTTGAAACAAAATACAAAAAGCTATAAGAATCCTAGGATTTTTCCCTAAAATTGTCCATTTCAGCTTCACCACGATTGTATCAATGGAGTACAGTTCACCCATATTACGTATTATTGTATAACATAATAATATTGTAGGTTAACAGAATGGAGAACATGATGTCAGAGGTCAAGTGTATGGCCTTTTAGGTACATTTTATTGACATTTAAATAGACCTATGCGGTTCATAATTTTCATTTCAACAGGTCCCTTGGATTTATAATGAAAATAACAACTTCTACAAGGTATAAAGTGCTTAAGAAGTCGGGAACAGATCCTGCTTTATTAATGCTTGTCTATTAACATTCATCTGTCATCGAATGTCCATTAATAGAACTTGCTGATGAGTAATCAATGACTGGAATGCTTCGACGATAAATTACTTATGATTATTGATTTTATTTTTAACTTATCCTTTGTTGTTCACAAAAATAAATCTGACTGCACGTTTTTCACAATTTGTCAAGCGATTTTTCATCCATTTTCTATTGTGTATCGTATTTGAAATTACAGTAGGTACGTCTCGTGCGACGGTGGTACAATGCTCGAGGCGATTACGGCAGTCTGCGTGCTACACCCAAGTGCTCGCAATCTAGACGAATTGTTGACGAAACAAAATGGAGATGAACTACAAGCGTAAGCAAGCCTCGGGCTTTCATACATTTTCCTTATGTCTGCGACATTTTTTAAAACAAGTCTTCCGCTTTAAAGGAAAGCGTGGTTTTTCATAAAATTGCTATAAAATATGGAAGGTATTTTTCGTTGAGTACAACAGTACTTCTTTTATACAAAAAAGTTTGCATAAAGATTTCTTTTCTTAGCTTGCCATATCTGTCATGAAAAATAACATTCAAGAATGTTGTCTTGATTGAAATGCAACGAAAATATACGAACTTAAATCAAATTTCTGATAGTAACGCAGCCATTGCATATCGGCACGAGACAGTCTAGAAATCGAATCGAAAATCACCTCTGATGTCGTATAACTAGATTAAATGTGAGACATCTAATAAACTTTTAGATTAAGCAAGGAATGGTGCGCAAGTAATTTGTTTACTGCAATTTGTCGTCCATAATTAATATGGAAATTGCTTAAACGGCGTTTCCTTGAGTAAAGTGACTTCATTAATAATATAGAACTAACTACCATGTACAAGGAATGGCAACCAAACGCTATAGTCTTCATTTCCACACTGAAATCTAATAAGAAAGTGTCGCAAATCACATCACAAAGCAAGTGGTATAATATTTACAAAGCGTGCTATTATAGGCCGGCCTCCAAACACGACGCCGCAATAAAAAGGGCCGGACGTTTATCCAGCACTACGGGAACCGGGTTACAGTGTTATTTGCGTGCATGACAAGTGATTACGTCATCGACATGCGTGTTCACGCGTGGACAGCATCAGTTATAGCAATTGAATTTATTGACCACTCCACTACTATGTCGATGTGTAGGCAGCTCATTTTTAAGATATCAAGCGTATTACGACATTTATTTTTATAAACCTTATTGTTCCTGAAACTGTTTGATAACCAAAAATTCCGGAAGACTACAGACCGGAGATTGATCACTTAAACGGAATGACTAAATTCACTCAGAATTGATCACCCCACCAAATCGTGTCGTCAGAAGCTAGTGAGAGATTATCCAACGAAAATGGGTGAGAAGACACCTGTTACTAATAACATAATACGGCATGTAATTCATGGTTATGGCTTACATAAACTCCCCCATCGTTTTGCTGAAGTGAATTATGGGGAGCTCATATCGAAAGGTTCCCAAGTAGAGGGCGATTCCGTTATGCAATACCTATTTACATCAGTGACTATTTTTACGAAAGGAAGATAGAAGATGGAAATACCTTTAAAATTTCGAAATGAGGATGTAGACTATCTCTAGTGGACTGAGAAGAACATGAAAATATTTTGTTTCGTAAAATTACGCTAAAAACTCGTTTTAAAAAGGACATTTCGCAGGTAGAATATTGCAATTGAAGAACAAGGCGTGTCAACATAGCATTCAATTTTCACCCTAAAAACCAAACGGAAGGAAGCGAAAGGTCAAATTCACAATTGATTTGCTATAACCAAAGTGTGAACAATATTTTATAGCCTTGTTTACGTAGCCCAGCCGTTACAATTTAATAGCTAAGGGCCATACTTTAGTTTTTGGTTACTATCATGTGTGTACCATATGCTTTCTCATATTCGGTATCATGATGTCATTTGACCAAAATATTCGTAAATAAGAACAATGTAAGACACAAAAGATATAGTTATAATATGAAGACTTTGATATTGGTAGTCAAGTTTTTTCTTTAGGTATATCATCATACAATATTTTGAGACAATGACAGACAGGGTCGTCCTTTGAAGTATGGAATAATTCGAATATGAAAAAGGTATGAAGGTAACCCTTGTACGCGTATGTCACATCTGATAGGAACAAAGATTTTCGAAAAAATAAAATAATACTAGAAAGGAAATGTCAACCTTTATCAGCTGTCGTTTTTATCAAAAAGGGAAATTTTATTATAAATTCGTACCATTTTCGCAAAAAGCCGCCCACGTTCATATTTCGATGTCATAATTTACAAAAATACCGAAAACATTTCATAACGAATTTGGAATTATGAATACCAACAAGCAAGCTTTTACTCTCATTTACTTTCAACGTCAATAATATGTTTCGATCAAATAACATTATCATAATGTTCAGTAAACCCACGACATTAAAACACCCAAGACTTTAATATTCTAACACAATTACTACACAGTCCATTGTGATGGTAATTACATTTACATAATTCGCCACGAAGGCTCCAAACATAGGTTTAACGACGTCTACTTGAGCTGAACCATAAACAATTACATATTAATTACGAACGCAGCCAAACTTTTATAGCGGAAAGCGGAAATGACGCTGTCGCTGTCATTATTGGCATCATGGCGGGCCCTTGCAAAGGTATGTTTACAATCAGTATTGCGGAAATGGCGTACAGTTTGTAGGGCCAGCTTTATTTGGCACGTCTTTATTGTGTGTTGGACGTCAGCTGAATAATTAGGAGCCGGCTTTTGTTACACCATTTTTAAAGGGAGACAAGAAAATGGCGGGTGACAGTTTTCCCACTTCCCAGTGGAAAAGCTTTTTTACGACGGAAATTACTTCAATTAACGCAGTCTTCATTAGAGCTAATGCTGCTGTTAATTACACAAGCAAGGGCACCGATTTACATTATTACATTTGGGAAAACTTTGTAATGAAGTAATTCTAAACATAAATAAGATTATTTTTGCTTTTAAATTGCGGTATTTTTCATTATACAATTTGCATATGGAAATGCTAATGTTCTAGTGCTCATTTTATAACATTGCTAAAAATACACAATGATAGGTACGACCAATATATTAAGTCTAGAAAAATCGAACAATATGGACGATTTATAAAACCGTTTGTATAGCTCAGGACAAAATCTAATAAAACCAAGCAGGCGCCGTTCAGAAGTGTTCGTTCTTGCAGACGTTCAAATATTCTAGGAATTATTGCGAACTCTACGATCGAAATAATATTACGGTTCAATACTGAACAACTGAACTTGAATAAGTTTTATAAATGATAGAAACGATTCAGGTGTCTAATATTTTATTGAACATTCAGTCTACCAAATACGAATGTACCTACTATGAAACATACAGAATGGAGGAGGAGAATCAGTCGGGCAAAACTTTATAATTTTGAAATAAACTTAAAACAATTTGGATTAATCTGATATGCACTCACCTTCAATGTTTAGAAGTATGGAGTAAGACTGAGCAGTTCCAACACCATTGCTGACCTCACAGGTATACGTGCCCTGGTCTTCATACGTCGGGTACCTGATCACCAGCGTCTTGCCGTAATTATCCTGAGTAATGCCTTGGGAAGAGACAATGCTTCGTCCGTTCTTCTTCCAAACGATTTGCGGTAAAGGCCTGTAGGAAACACGGATATTTTATTATAGGAATGTAGCTTTCTAAATGAAACTAGAGACAGTTGAAGGAAATTGGAAATTGTGTTGCACTGTAGGACAGAATAAAATAAAGACCCTCGCGTGCCGTCTGTTCGAAATAAACTCCAAAACTATTGAACAGATTTTGATGCGGTTTTCACTATTGAATAAGGAAAGTCATTTTTTGGGGAATGATTGTGGGCGATGTTGTGAGTCATTCGTCATTCTATAATGCCCTTTTTAACTATCTTCTCTTCTATCATCTAATATTAGTTTCAATTGCTTTAAAGTCCGTAGGCACGTCAAATAACAGGGAGTGAATTGGCGGCATGTATGTAACTCGATAGCGGAGAGAAAAGCCCACTCGCGACCACTCATGCACGCGTAGCGGGGGCGCAATAGGTCAGTACCTGCACTGGGAGTGGGAACCTAGGGCTGGTAACCAGGTGAATGTGAAAGGTAGAGATTTAATTTATATTTAGTATATCTTATAGGCATGTTAAGGGAATAAGGACTAAAACTAACTACAGTCCATTAATATTATGTTTATTTTTTTCGATTTAGAATTTTCTTTTTCGTGGACTTTATGAGAAGGTAATTGGAAGCCTTTTAAACGGGAACGTGTGAACAGATAGTTTTTTAAGTACCTATTCATAGGATTTATTTAGTGTCTTCTGTAATTTTAAATGCAGACAGCCCTATATCAGCTGTCGCAATCGTAGAATTGACATGACTAACCTAAAATCTCGTATTACACTTGTAAGTAGAATGCTAGACTTCTACTGGTTTTATGAATGAAAAACTATGCGAGTAGTCTCTCAATGGACTCAAAAGAGAAAGAAGGTCTTCCAAGACTAATTGAAATGGTGTAATAAATTCGTGTACGCAAATGTGCACTTTTAGAATAAAGAATCCTCACGCCTGCTGTGTTTAGTGTTCCCGTCCATTAGGCGCTCCTAAGTAGAATGTAGAACTCTTTCACAGAACACAGGGCAACGTAGGTACTGTATATTATGTCGCGCTCGATAATCCTATAGCGTCGCCACTAGACAACATCATACATTTCCTAAGCAAACAGTGTTCTGTGCGAGGAATATCAGATGGAATTCGCGAAGAACCCAACAATAATTTAAAAGAACAACGCAATAGTGCGTAACCCTATAGTTTGCGTGTCTACAAACAACATTGTTATCGATCAGTCGACTCTTACAGACACAATACACCGAGTTTTGCTTCGCTCCAATCTTTCCTTCAACCTACTGAACAAAGAAATCAAAGATACTCACGTTCCACCGTAGATACAGTACAGTTCCACCTTCTTCCCCTTCAAAGCCTTCTCGACCTTCCTAGTAGTGTACTGGCGCACCGGCTCATGCCTGTTCAAGGTGGGCGCAATACCAGTCTGCGTGACTTCCAAATAAATCTTGTTACCAAACTTGTACTCATTCCTGAAGATGGAATTAGCTGTACAAATGTAAGCGAAGTCAACACTGGCGTCATATCGAGTCACGTTAGAGAACCAGAGGTTTCCTTCAGGATCCAGGGTCATGCGCGAGTTGTTGATGGTTTTCAGTTGACCCTGGTCGCCTTGCAACATCCAGTACACTTTGGGTTTGGGGTGACCATCAGGTGGTTCGCAGGTGAGTTTGAAAGGTTTGCCTTCCTCTGCCCTGACGACTTGTTGGCTGTCTGTCTCCTTGAAGGAGTTAAGTTCAGCTCGTCGTACAAAGACGCTGTTGGACGCGGCAGTTCCCCACTCGTTGTACGCGAAGCACTGGTACTGTCCGAGGTCCTCGTCACGTGGCTGGCTGACCACGAGAGTACCACGGCCTGATTGCTGCGAGATACGATTGTCGTAACTCGTGTACTCGAAGGGTTTGCCGTTTTTGATCCATCGGTACCTGTTGGGCAAAGATATTGAGTGAATAAACAATAGTAATAAAGTAGTAACTACCTATTGAATAAGGATAATTTTGTTAAATCAACCTTTATAATTCAGACAACTAATTCTAATTTCCTCATTATAAATGTTAAGAGCAAAACTTCAAAACAAAGACAATACAAATCGTATTTGTATTTAAACATATTATATGTATACCTAACTATTGCAACAGAAAGAACAAAAGCATACAATAAGCAATAATAATTAATAATATTACATTAAAATAAATAAATCAATCATGACCAATGCGGTTTTACATCCCTGGGGAAATGATAACTATATCACTGCAGTGGAATAGGTATTGATTGTTAAATGCCTATGAAACCTATAAATAAATTCAATCGCTTTATGATTATACAGAATATGTCCAGAATTATGCGTAAGACATACACATTTACTATAATACAAAGAAAATTCATAGCTACATTACATTACATTACATTTTGTACGAGTTAACACCACATTTATCGATTGGGAGGCGGGACGAAGTTCGTTAGGGCATTTACGTAGTATACTTAAATTACCTATGTAAATACACGATAATAAAAGACTTCACAAATGGGAACCCTATTGCTTTTAATTTTGCAGGAAACATGGTTAAGTCTAAGGACCTGTTCCACATCGTCTGACTATGTCTCCATCAGTCAAATTAACGGATAATTTGATGTATTTCCTTAACAATGTGTCAAAATACGTGTCAGTTAAGGTTATTAGACATTGTGAAACAGGCCCTAGACTTGTTAGTATTTACTGAACACTACATATATGATACAGATTTTGAAAGTGACACAAAGACCTTTCATCAAAGAATACTAGTACCTAATACTAAAAAAAACAAAGGCTATATTTCCAAACAAGACACAAGATGATATGTAGGTATATGGTTGTCGCAAAAACATTTACTTAAAGTACGGCACAAGACTTTAATGCGAACAAATTATAAGTAAGTGCGTCCCTAAGGGCTTTCGTCTTCCAACGTACGCGTAGGTTCAAACTTCTACCTAGAGCCTATTCACAGCCGTAAGCGTTTTAAGTCCCAGACGTGTCGCAAAAGGGGGAGTCTCAAGTAATAAACTCTACTTAAATATCAAAAGAGACTTTACTAAAAGAAAATAAAATATTAAAAGCCAAGGTTCCAGAAGCCACAAGACGATTATAACAAGCGGTTAGGAAATTAAATAATTTATAAGTAGATCGCGGTTTTCCTTCCATTTATGTCATGATTAATTAATAAATAGAAGTACATTTATTTACTATTAGTATTAATTTTATCATTTCATTTATTTGTGCTCTGTATTGATTGTTCTTCAGTTCAGTAATATAAATATAAATTTTCTTTCAGTATTCAGGTGTTATTTATATTCAGTAATATAAATAACACCTGAATACTAAAACTAAAATTCTTTGTTGGGAACATTACAGTACGCTTTAACGTGTAAGAAACTCAAAAGCGTACATAGGCCACAGTCCTTACCATTAGGTGGGCCGTGTGCAATTTTTTGCCACCGCCGTATAAAATAAACGTCGGTATAAAAAAAAGAAGATAGCTAAAACTGAACACAGGCTTTCATGATAACACTGAACATTTTATTAACAATTTCGTTCATTATTCAACTTTCAATGTTTTAAACTGATACATATTATTTGTAAACATTGTTTCATAAAAAAAAAAGTATCACATACATACTTTCTACTACTTTAGTAATCATCTTGTTTTTTTAATAGAACCAATTACGATAATCTTAAAAAAACTTTGTATTACAATTTTCAAGGTTGTATATTGGAACAGTGATTTTCCACTTTCGCAGGTCATCGACCCATCCTGTTTGCTAGTTATAAAAGTGAAATAGGTACAGTAGTTAACCCACTTGTAGCGTAAACACATTAGCTTAGTGGGAACATAAAACTGTAAGCATGAAACTGTAATACAGGATGGCTTCAGTAGACGAAGTTATTGAACCAACGACGCGAATGCAAATTGCTGGCTGTTGAATAAAGATCTTCAATGGAAAGTCTGGCTTTGCAACATCTGTGTCTTTGAATGAAGTAAATGTATAATTGAGTGTAACTGACTGGGTGTCAATTCGTTTTCTTGTATTCATTTACTGTATTTAAAAATAGGGTCAAAAGTAATGAGAAGATAACATTGACGTAAGTTTTGTTTGAAGATCAAGTGCAATCGTTTCGGTTATGATAAATCTCGCATCAACGTCATGTTTTTATGCCTTTTCAAATAAATAGAGGAAGGTATCACCCACGCGGATTTGTGTTTTGAAGGAGGAAATCGCACATTGCTGAAAACTGTTTTCTTGTAATGAAACTTAGAACAAATGTACAGTTGAACTTTTACCATTCTGACAACAAGAACTTGACTCAATTACTAATATGAGCTTATGAGCAATGATAACAACATAATAAAAACATAAAAACAGGTTTTTAACCGTCATATAATTATTTTTAGCGAATAAACAGCGTTATTCATACATGACATAATATTTCCGAGTGTCGCCTCTCGCCTCGAGATGACTGCATTCGAACCAAGGCTGAGTCACGCCATGAATAATTCATAGTCCCGCATTTATTTACAACTAATTTATCTATTAGTACCATGAATGGACCGCCATTGCGGTTTTTGTTAGTTTGTTTGTCATTTGATATTAAAAGCATTCAATTATAATTGTGTGGTGGGTGAGTGGTAATGTCGGACAATGGGTATCGATGACACGAGTACAGGCTTTCTGTAGCCATTTGCTAATTAGTTACCGGTAGCGACATGTTACATGCTAATATCATTAAGCAGTACACCGTTTGTATGCGATTGAACTAGCCACCGGATTAATTACTACATTTTTTTATTGTCTAGTTCTTGGACGTCGTTTGTAAGTCTCGATAAAACTAGAAAATAGCTGAACCGATTTGGCTAATTTTGGTTTTGAAATGTTCATGGAAGTCCAGGGAGAAGAGACATTTTTAAGGCGGGAGAAATTTATGAGGTCAGCTAGTACTATATACATATGTTCATGGCTATGAATACACCACTCACTTTTCGCTGAATTGAAACGTTTATAGAGTCGTTTTTTTTTCAAGCTATCTCTTCCTAAAGCTTTCTTTCCCTGCATTCTATCGTTAAGCACGTTTGTATAATCACAAACTTCTAACTACCATGAAGATTAAAGCTAATAACATTAGCGCATTTAAACAGGTCCTTTTGATATTTTATATCGTTTGAATCATCATTTTCGTGTCATAACAAAGTAAAATTTTTGACATGAAATAGTGTTAAATGGTTGTTCTATATAAAACTTTTAATATTAAATGAATGTAAAATAAAAAGCAGAGTAACTTTCGAGGTCAAGTCGCGTTGAGAGCAAGTCAAGTTAATTGATATGAAGACTATAATCATTACTTCACCGTTATCTGCCGCGGGTCATTGATTTCCTTCGCCACAATCATAATAACTCTTCTTATAATTTTATATGGAGAGGTAATGTACTGATGTATTAAATTGGAGCTAATGTAGTGTAAAGTAATAATGAAGTATCAGGTACGTTGTACAAAAAAGGTGCTATCGATTCGGTCGGCCCAGCAGTTTCGTAGATAGCCGCTGACACATCAGTTTCCAATTCTAATTATTATGATTGTTAGAGGATAAACGTGAGATGTTCTGACTCCGTTTCTTAGGTTGGGTAAAATGTTATTGTGTCGTTTAGTTTTAAGATTTAAAATTAATATAGGCAATTTCTTTGTAAATTCGAGATAAAACTATTTGATTTTGGTTAGCATTTTCTTACTGACAGCTGAAACTTTAGCGCCCTGGCATTTCATGACGTTAAAAGGTAAGGCGATAGGTAAATTGGTTCCATCGCCCTTTCAGTACTTAGTTACAACTTAGTGCTTCTGTTTAAGTACACTGTACAGAGCTGAAGACAAGGAAGTGATTTAAGCCCCGCTGAGCATTTAAAAGGATTTAACGTCTAGTGTCTCGATTTACATAAAGTTACGTATAATTAATGTAGAAACTAAGTACCTACGCTGTTTACTGTCACAATAAAGGTACTCTGGTGGTAGAAACTCTCATCGGAATACAAATTCAATTTCTTAAAGAAGGTAAATACAATAGGTACAGTCTCTTGGAGATTATATTAAGACAGCAGCCTGCTAATATTGTGTCCTAAAGTTTCAGTTTCAAGTGTCAAATCCTACTAATAACTATTATAATTAGCGAAAGTTTGTATGTTTGTTTGTTTTTTACTCCTTCGCGTCAAAATGGCTGAAGAGATCAAGATCAAATTTAGAAAAGGGGTAGATTATGTTCTGGAATGACACATAGGCTACTTTATTATCTCACGGGACCGCGAGCCAAGCCAACGGAGAGAATCTACTGATATGTAAAGATTCAGTCAATACTAAATGAACACTACAAGGTCGAATATTAAACAGACTAACTATCCAATAATGTTCCAATAATGTTAACACTTTAATTCTAATGTAGACAATCTAGTTTCCTTATGGCATCGAGCATTTCTTTATTGAAACAAAGAGTTTCCTTTTCTTGTATAGAAGCACTAATTCTATGGATTGTCAGTATGCATATGTGAGCACCATGTTGGACTTTAAGATTTTTATTTATTTATTTTTAATTTTAGTAAGTTATTAGTATAATGCGTCAAGCGTGTCTTTGCATTGTTCTTACATATGCGTACAGTATTGAAATATGTATCAGAGACATTGTAGAACATACTTTTTTTTTAAAAGAGTAACGAATGGAGTTTCTTGCTCGTTCTTCTCCATTCGAATCTACTTTTTGGAATGAGCACCAAGCTTCACCTAGTTTCACTGACGGACTGACTGACAGACTATTATTTATTTTGTATTTGTTGACGTTTCAAAAGTACCAAACTATGGTTTAATTGAAATAAATGCTTTGACTTTGACCTTGTTCATAAAACGGTATTACCTACAAAAGATAAAAATAAATATTATAACAAAAACGTGAGTCAATTTGTTCGTCACTCAATCACAGTGCAGCAGATGAGGATAGAAACAGGAAGCTTGAATCATTTTAAGGATATGCATGCACTATAGCGTTTAAGATCAAAGGCTACTTCCCTTGGGAAATCCAGGTTAGTGCTTGTAGCCTTGTACGGACGCCATTTCGAATTTCGATTGCGTTTTATGAATATCTAGTGTCCCTTTGAAATGCAGATCAGAAAGGGGTTGTTTGTTGTTTTTACCAATTTGTTCTCAGATAAACTTAGATTCGGAAATGAAAGGTATTTCTGAGATAGGTAGGTACGTGTGTGAGTCTGTCTCGTTGGTTTTTCCGCTGCAGCAGAGCTTTTTCCGAGCTTCGTAACTACCATTTGTTTAATCTATTTAGATATTAAACAATTCAGAACTTAATAGTAACTCTAACAACCAATCAATTTCGTAATCAGCATGAAATTGATGAAATCAAAATGTTTAGTGTTATCGAACGATGAAATTGTTCTGTTTAACAAAATACTTTAAATAGGTAATACTTTAAACATCCTATTTTCCTCTAATAACCAGTTAAATAAGCCACGAAACCACACGGTATCATAAATAACATATTTTGCACGCTATGTTCACTTCCATTGAGGAATTAATAAAATGTTAAACGTTCGCCATCTGTCATTCATAACACGGTAAATTATTATATTATTATACACCTCTGCCTATCTGAATCGGTTCGGAACGGGTAAAATATAACATTTTACAACAAACTAAGTATATGTTTAATAAAATAATAACAAAGAAATAAACAGAGTCACCGGGTACCCTAAGTTCTAATTCAAATATTTATTAAATCTTTTTCAGAATTGAAGTGTAGTTTCCAAGAAAAATAAATACAGATAAATGAATTACTCAATTCTGCGCGAATACAACACAATGAACGTGTGAATCATTGCAATTGCAATAACCACATGTTTGTTTGCCAACCTATAGGAACGGCGCCGGCGCCACTTGAGCACCGATACACAAAGTAACATAAGTACTTAATTTACAGAATGAATGAAGAAAGCATTATTTTTCTTTGTCCACTCACGACAACCGGACGTAATGATAGATTAAAACGGTATTTCACTTGTCACACTGATTGGTGCAAGTTTTCACGTACCGAATACAATATTCAGCTGTGTGTGTGTGAACGAAATAAATGGACGTGATGTTGCGTGCAAGTCATGTTCACTACTAGAAGGAGAGATGGTTAATCAAATAGGTACTGTATCTCATAGATTACATGATACAGATTTTAAGTATCGAGGATGACACTAACAGAAGGATTAAACTCTTTCGCATTTTGTTATTCACCTGTAAGTGTCGAATTATTCTAGATCAAACGACTCTTCGACTTGTGTAATCTCTTATCTCTTTACCTTCAGCACTGCCTATCCGAACGTTACACTCGTAAAACCTTACTTTATAAACCTGATTTCGTACTAAACAACTCGAATACAAAGTCGGATGACCTAATACCCAACCCAACTATGATAGTAATAGTAAAACAAGGTGACGTACTTAGGAGCCGGTTCGCCTTCAGCCTCGCATTCAATGATGAACGGTTTGTCCACCTCGCCGGGCTGCGCGACTTGGAACAGAATCTCCTCTTGTGTCGGCTGCTTCACGATCTTCGGCGGTGACGTCACTGCCAACAAAACGAATATGTTATGACGTGTTATATGAGTGCATCATGTGAAATGATTAATGATATTTTATTTATATGTGTAATGTGTGCATCATCATATAATCATGGCGTAAAAATTAAATAATTAGCTCGCACATTTTTTTGTTAAATCTAGGGAATATTCAATAATGCATCTGTTTATTAGGTTGACGTAAGTGCACCTGCTTAGTATGGGCCTCTGGTCAAGTAAATGTAGTTTACCAATAGCTTCCTTGTATTTAAATTTAGAATAAAGATTTATTATTCATTTAGATTTGATTGACTATTAACTAACATTGTTTCTACTTATGTGTGTTGCTTAGGCATTTCCTAATCTTTTTCAAATTAATTATATTGTAATATTTATGCACCAAAGTATTATTTTAATTTTAACTAATTAAATTTATTAAAAACGATTGATATTATGTTTAATTAATTTAGTATGTCTCACAATATTTATTATACATTTAACTACCTTCCTCGTTAACCGAGTGGTCGCAAGTACGACTACTGGGCAAGGGGTCTCGGGTTCGATTCCAGGGTTGGGCAAAGTATTACTGGGATATATTGTTTAATCTCAATAGTAGCACGGAGTCCATATACGTATGGCAATAGGCTCACCCCCTATTACATGAAACTCACAACATAAATAGTGAAAAGTGAGTGTCACATTTTACAGTGGCATTAAATGCCATAATGTACACCTCTGCCTATCCCTTCAGGGATCGCGGAGGCACGTCGCCGGGGCGAAACTCCGCTGCCGCGCCAGATAAGTGCGTGGCGGGATGAGCTCCGGCGCGATCTCATGGCGGAATGGCAGCAACGACTGTCGCAACCGAGGACTGGGCTCGCTGCCATCGCAGCGGTAAGTCCCCTCTTTGAGGAGTGGCTTGAGAGACGCTACGGCGTCCTCACCTACCGCCTGACGCAGGTCCTCACCGGACATGGCAGTTTCGGGAGGTACCTGTGTCTGATGGGGCGGGAGGAAACGCCCGGGTGTCATCACTGCGAGGACCGCCCTGAGGACACGGTGGAACACACGGTGGGAGAATGCCCTTCGTGGGCTGAGCACCGCCGTGTCCTCAGGGAAGTGATCGGCGATGGCGACCTCTCGCGTCCGGGCCTAGTGCAGGCCATGATGCGGAGCGAGGGGGATTGGGATGCCGTCTCCTCCTTTTGCGAAGCAGTCATGCTAGCTAAGGAGGAGGCGGGACGCGTGAGGCAGCGAAGCGCTGCCTCCTCGCAACCCAGCCATCGCGAAGGACACACCGGGCGTCGGGGATCGCGGGACGATCTCCGGCCACCGTAAGCGCGGGCCTGCGGACGGCGAGCATGGGTGGCTCCCCGTCCGACCAGAAACAGACCCGAGCGTACGGCGCGTCGCGTTCCGCGCGCGCCTCAAAGAGCCATCAGACCACCACAGATGGGGCCCAATAGGGCTGATGCCGATTCGGAGTCGCGGAGAACCTAACGGGTAACCGGGGCTCCGGCTCGACGTGCAGGAGAAGGAACGGGGTGGTTTTTAGTCAGTAAGAGTCTGACACTCCCTCCCGCCTCACCCAGGCGGGGGCAGTCATTCGATGATTTTCCCCCCTTAAAAAAAAAAAAAAAAAAAAAAATCCCTTCAGGGATAAAAAGTGTAATGTTATGTTTTTAACTAGCCAATTTAATTAACTATAAATAACAAACTTTGACCTATTATTATCTCATTTCTATCCTGTTATGTAAGCAAATGCATGATAAAAAACGATAAAAGGTTAGGGTTAGGGGCAAGATTAGTAAAAATTTATTAAGACTATTTTTTCTCGAGAAAATTTTTTTTGCCTGCCTCGTTGGCCGAGTGGTCGCACGTGCGACTGCCGGGCAAGGGGTCTCGGGTTCGATTCCCGGGTCGGGCAAAGTATTACTGGGTTTTAAAAAAAATCTCAGTAGTAGCACGGAGTCTGGAATTGTGCCCGGTATATGGCAATAGGCTCGCCCCCTATTACATGGGACTCATAACATAAATAGTGAAAAGTGGGTGTTACATTGTACAGTGGCATAATGTGCACCTCTGCCTACCCCTTCGGGGATAAAAGGCGTGATGTTATGTTATGTAATAATTTTTTTTATAACTAAGTAGCTAACACAATAACATTTCATTAATTAAGGAAGATATATACATATAGTTAGATAAAACCTTATTAAATAAATGCCAATGTTTGTGAAGATAAAAGTATGTTGAAAAAGGTGGACACAGTCTCTTGGTGCAACGTCTGTGGCACCTGGTTACTATAGACTTAACATAGAACATACACACATTGACATGAAGGACATCTGTCATTTTAAATAATTTCTAAGTGACATAATGTCCACCCTTTTCAACTTCCTTTTGAAGATACTGATAAATGGAGCCCTGATTATGTATGAATGCAAATAACTCTGTTAAATTTTGGGGCCTCTCATAATGCACATAGTTACCTAGTATACATTCCAAGGATGCTTATATTTACTGATGCATTTTGTACATGTCAAGAACATTCACATTAAAAAAAATGAAAGAATGTAACTATTGGTCAATTGCAACAGGGAAGGCATGTGCATTGCATTATGATCTAGTTGGCACTAGCGTCTGCCCTATACACTCCCTGCCAATCTTTGATAGTGGACCTCAGTGCCAATAGTATGGCCTGTATGGACAATACATCGACAATACATACAAAATGTAATATTATGTAAATTTCAAAGTGAGTATTCTTTGTATTGTGTGTATGTACACATCAAAGTATTTAGCATGGCCAAGGTGATTCCGACATTGGGATCTATACAAGCTATTAGTTTTATAGTTTCTGCATTTCCAATTAGATGTTATTATGGCTAGACTTATAAGATCTAGAATGAGGTTTCTTATAAGATTTGGTTACTTATGTTGTTTTAATGATAATACATTTTTTTCTTCATATTTCAGTAAGAAATTACAACATTTATTTATGAACATTACATTTATTTTTGTTAAGGTGTATAGAGTAAACAAACTTGTAACAGAGGGCAGAATTTTAACAATAATATTGTTCATTAACTCTTTGAGTACCGTCATTATAGACACAATTAAAGAACAATAGGTTGCGGTCACCGGTGACCGCTTGGTGTTTGACAGTTTAAAATGTAGTAAGAAAACAACAAATTAACAATCACAATATTAGAAATACGCAAGCAAGAAAACATGCATGTTTCCAAAGAGAATTTCAGATAAATTAACATGATCATTGCTTTTATTTTTAAACATGAGTATGCAGACAGGGAACGCCAACATTTCGCTATACAGATTTGACTATAAAAATTATATATGGGTATGGATACCCTGAAAACTGAATATCCACACCATTCCTTACACAAAACATAATAGCTGTTATAATCTATTTTAGCGGGCACACTAGAAGGTGGGTAGAACAGTGCTAAATTCAATCTATGACATCAAAATCTTGATCACGGCCTGAGCAAGGACAAAACAATGTTGTCAATTACAAATCTGGCATGTAGACTACTAAATTAAGATATGATTATGATTCTACTGAGTAATGAATGACACCATTTAAGTCATCAAGGAATTCCACGGAGGACCAATGCTATGGTTTTTTTTTATGTGGCTATAGGCTGGTGTTAGTCTAACAAATAAAAATGGGGGAGTTTAAGGGATTACTAATTGACATTTATGGAGACAATTTCTTGTACATAAAGTAATATTTAAATTGAATATTTTAATGATTTGTAACACACTTGTAACACAATAAAAAAGTTGTGTATTTTGAATATAATTTACTCAATATTATTTAAATAGTTAAAAATAGTAAAATCATTTATAACGGTTAAGTGAAGGGCTGCAGTTGTTCTAAATCAACAAGTCTTGTCTCATAATTAAATTATATGGGGATGGTGCAACTAAGAAAAAGTTGAATGAACTATAGCTAACAACTCAATAACCAATTGAAATCCATATAGAAAAGACAATAAACATTAATAACAATGTAAATAATACTCACATAACGCCGCCGCACATGATATTAACGCGATGAAACACAGTACTTTTGTTGTACCCATCTTTACAGGTCTTCTACTTCGTAGAACTTGTGTATCTAATAAACAATCAAATAAACCACTTTAAAACTTATTTAAACACATTTCTCCGGCACACATGTTCACCGCACTCGATGACCTAATCCGAATAAAGCTTGGACCACAATGACAACACCCACTAAAAATAGCAACATCAAATACACTAAATTGTTGACCTCTTATAACACAAAAAGTAATTACGCAAACTTAAAAAGTACCGCAATTCCCTTAGCCCTTATGATTACACAGTTTCACAACGGGCTAACGCTAGAAATCCCGCACAAACTCACTATTTGTTGCCGTACACGGCAAATCAATAATTACATTCCAATAATGAAAACTGGATTAAATCTTAACATAAAAAACATATATATATTTTAACTAGTGTTAATTATTACCTAAATGTCCGTTTTTATAATAATATCATCGCGAAAACCAACTGAAATAATAAAATTACGGATATAAAGGCGGGGCCTCTGAGATTCGCTGTCGTTCGTTCGTTCAGCACTTGACGGTTCAATGGCTTGGCATAGACAAGGACTCTATTCCTTAGCCATGGCCGTTTTACGTGCTATCTCTTTTGCACTTACCGCAAAACTATATTTTTAACTCATTCTTTCTTTTTTTAATCATAGACAAATGAAGGAACGTTGAACGCAATCGTTTAGAAATGTCATTTTCAAATATTGTAGGCATTCGTCTACCAGTGTAATTTACTATTCCTATTAGATCTGTAGAAAAAATAAAATAATGTTAATATAGTTATTTCATTACTTTAGCTTTCCACCTGTGGCCTCACCTACATGGAATTTAGAAAAGCTATATCTTGAAAGTCTCAAAAAGTATCTATACCCCGATTCTACATACAATACAAAAACGTCCAGCCCAATTTCCTTACAGTAGAAATTATTTAGACAAATTTAAAAATACTAAAGTAAGTATATTAGGAATAAAAACGTGTAGGAATTATATTTTACGTTTATTCCAAATATTTTTCATTAATTTCATGCTGTCACAAATGGAAGGATTATTCTGTGCCACCAGGCCAGAAGCACTTATGGTACCTCCGTATAAGTGTAGTGTAGGTACAGGTAGGTAAGCTTTAATTTTGTCTTACTTCCTCGACTCCTCGATGTTAAAACCAGTGGAACACCTACTTAACCCGAGCTAACTGTGATCTTTTAGTCGTTTCGAGTACAATAGGTACATGGGGATTTGGATTAACTCCTTGACTTGAAAGAGGACCTTTAGGTTTATTACTTGTTTAGCAGTTAACGTCTTCTATGATGATGAGACAAAAAATTATACCTAAGTTTAACTCTTTGGAGAAGGTATATAAACATGCAAATTTTGAATAAGGAACTTAATTTTTCTTAATAATTTTATTGGATTTATCAAAAAGAATAAAACACTGCGTAGCCATGAATTTTCAATCAAATCTGACGCTAAATGTAGTCAGTTACAGAAATTTTCAAAAATGTTAGTGGTGCTTTTTTGACTTTTAGATTTGTAATTTGGATGTAAAATCTATGAAGTGTTATTATTGCTTAAAAGTTTTCAGAGACTAAAGTAATATTCTCTTCGCGTATCTATTTAATCCTAGATCTTATAATATCTACAGATACGGAACCATGGATGTGGGTAAGGATTTCTCATTTTTTATTGCTCCGTGCCGCAATAATACCTAATTTTCAAAAACCGTTATGGCTAGTCTATCAGGAGCACCCCCGTGTTACGTGCACCCCCAGATGTTACGATAATTTTGTGTTTACATTAAAATATGTATACTTCTTAATTTCCCAGGCGATCAACCTCATCATAACCTAAGAACAAGGCATAGCTTCTATATATCAAAAGGGTCCAAAGACTCAGCACATAAAGAACCCTTATGCAAATCAGAAGTCAATGTTCCGCAAGAAATCATCGTAAGACCGAACGGCTCTCGAGAGACACACGTCACCTTTAGTAGCCTTGGAGAATACTATAAGAAATATGAACACGATGAGGTACCTGTGAAAGATTCTAGTTATGAAGAGGTTACAACAACAGTACGCAACAAATCGTTAACAAATTCAGAACTTGACAAATTAGAGATTAAAATATACAGGAACATATCACAAGAGCTTCAAACTGATGATAACTCCGTCGGTAGCTTGGAGTCTAATATTAAGTTTTTCAGAACGACCGTCCAAGAGATTTTTGATAATTTCTACGCCAATATGCGCGATTTCGAAATTTATAAAAAAAGATTTAACGAAATTCTCGCAAAGAATAAAGAGGACGCAGTGGCTGATATGGAAGAGTTCATTAAAGACATGATTCAACACATAATGTCTTCAGAAACGGTCACTTCAACCGAGACCAAGAAAAGTAATGATATCCCGCCACCGCTGCCGCTGCCGCCGCCGCCAATGACACTTAGAGACAAGGAGACAAATGTTAGCAGCTTTGACGATACATCAAGTAACGATATGACTGTTTCAACAACCGAAAATTTGCAATCGGTAATTGAATCTTACAAAAATGACAACTATCTTACAGACTCTACCTTTGATGACAATACATCAAAGGCGAAAGCTCTTCCAACTAAGGAAGAGATCTTCAACATTTATCTTCTAAGCGGAAGTCCTTGCGTAGAAATTAAAATGAATGATCGAAATCTGTTATCTGAAATCAATATAAAAGAACCGTTGAAAATGCTAAACGAAGGTAAACACGTTGCGTCTGCAGATAACATGGAAAGACTCAAAGCTAAAAAGATGGAGCTGGAGAAGTACGTGGAGCACACGGCACAGGACCCAAACGTGCCGGATAGAGAAATACCCGTCAAAGTTTCCTACGCGAAGAAGAATATACATCTTAATGAGGACTTTTCCCACGACCGTGACACTGAAAAATCCTTTATAACTAAACTCTGTAATTTTCTGTGCAGAAAATTCCGTAAAGCGACTTGAAGTCGCTGTTTTATGTTTTTGATTAAATAAATGCATTGTTAATATTCAACAATACTTTATTGTGGACTAGACAAAGAATAGAACAAGGAACAAAATCACGATTCACCACATTCTTCAAAATTGATTATATACCACCTCATCATGGCTATGTGTTTACTAAGTTGTAGTGCGAATTCTTTCTTCATGTGCAAAAACTCCCTGATGACCGGCAGATCTAACATAACGAATGCTTGGCCGTCTATTTCCTCCTGTTTCATTTTGTCTGCAATAAGTTTACAATCGTCAGTGCTACTTAAGTAAGCGTAAACGTCGTCGACTGACCAATCCAGTGGGTTCGGGGATAGCTTCAGTTTACCCTTCATCCAGGACATCGCCATATCTTTCTCGAACATCTTGTTATCGGACGGCAGAGGATCGTAAGTGTTGAATTTCAACTTTTTCAGTTCTGGTTCCTCTGAGTCCGATACGTCTGAAATATTTTTGGCATCTCGAGAATTGGAACTACTTTCGTTCGTCTCATTCTCAGTGTCGCTGTCTTGCGAGGTCTGTTTTTTGACGCAGGTGTTGTTGTATATTGTTTCCACGTCCTTTTTGTTCCAGTGGGCTTCCTTCATTTGCAGGGCGAAGTTGGGTAGCTTGGCGCCGCGCGTCTTCATCTCCAGCTTGGGGTAGTTGTGCTTGGGCTCGCGCTTCCTGCGCTGGCTGCGCTTGTAGTCGGCGCTGTCGGGAGAGTTGGCGCGCGAGTTGTGGCGCGACGTGGTGCGCGAGTTGGGCCGCGTGCCCGGCTCGGACGGCGGCGTGGAGCCGGCGCTGTGTTCGCTCTCCACGGACTCCCCATCCTTGTTGCTCTCCGACTCCTGCGATGGTTGCTGCTCCTTCTCCTTCTTCTCTGGTGCAGCCTTCTTCTTTTTCCTCTTTCCGTTGAGACTGCCTTTTGGTCTGCCCCGACGTTCTGTGTTATGATCTGTAATTATAATAATATTTATATTAGAGACGGTGTCATTAATGATTACAGAGATGATACATTTATGTAAATTTGGGATAAAGTAATAACAGTTCATCGATATTGTAAGGCCAAAAAAAGAACAGCATGGTTACTTACGGAAGGTGGATTTGTCAACACGTTGGCAGTCGTTGGGGCAGGCCTCGGCGTGCTCGTCGGGCCCGAATAGACACGGGCAGGCCTGCAGCTTCACGCACACCTCGCGGCAGAAGCCGGACACTTGCGTCGCCGACCGCGCTATCGGCACGTACGCGTGGTACGTACTCGACTTCAGCCTGTTACCGATCGAATAATAACATTAGATTATTGCAAATTATTATCAACGTCATATTGCAAGAAATCAAACGTCATATTATCAAGAGATTGATAGAAAAGTACTCTGAGATGGGATGACAGCGTTGATTACATTATGATACTCACTTTGCTCTTAACATTTCGAGCCGCATGCCCTCTTCGGGCGGCCCCTCAGTCTCCCAATCCTTGAGCAACTTGGCAGGCTTGTATGATGCCGAGATTATTTTATTTAGCACCTCCTTAAGCACCAAAGACAAAGGCCCAGGTCCCACGTGTTTTGGCAACTGAGACAATTTGTTTCTACTAATCGATGGTCCCGCATAACATTTGTAGTTAAAGAAAATCCTATCGCACCATTCATCTGAACACTTCATGTCCTCTTTGACTGTTCTCTCTTCTACTGGCTTTGGTTGCTCCTTTTCTATCGTAGTATCGGGAATGTGTAGAGCATAGTCATTGCTATCGCACCAGCCGACTGGGAATAACAAGTCACTGTCTTGAGCATACCAGTACTTCTCCCCAATAGGCAGGAGCTCCACGCAGAGCATGTGTTCTACAATACTATCTACATTTGCTACGTGAATTTCTTCATGATTCTGTGGGTTAACAGCCTCTAATTTCATATTGACTTCAATGCCTTCGAGCGGCACTTTGTTCCCGAAGCAGTAGTCTGGCGCTGGCACTGATGACGTCATTGTCAGATATTCGTCCCAGTCAAATGGTCCTTCTTTCCAGATTTTGGGACTCTTGAAAGTGAAACCATTTTTCTGTGCCCACCCTATGGGGTATATGTATGGGTGCATAGAGTCGCAGAGCCAGGCCATCTTAGAGTCCTCGTAGTCTTCTACATGGTCATCGATGACTACAAGGAAGTGCAAATTATTGAACACTTTGGTAACAGTCGCGGGACGGATGGTCCTCATGTCTTGTGGACTTAAAGCTTCTACCTTCATACCACTCACGAAGTTGTGAGACTCCAGGTTCTGGTTTGGCTGTGGACAATAATACGTGATTTTGAGACAATGTTCGACAAAACATGCTCTAGGGGAGGGGAGGGGCTTAATATTGAAGAGAAGAAGAGATCATTGTTTGTAATTCATTTACAACCATCGTTCGTAACTTAAAATACCATCACATCATACAGGCTATATGAGACAAGTTTGAAATAACTCAGTTCCAGTTATATGTGGCGCAATACACGTCCGTTGATATATTGAAGACAAACAAACGGCACGTTATTTAGAACATTTCCCTTGATTCACATCACTGGTGGGGAAATAACATGCGATGTTTTCAAACAAAACAAACGAACCTCTACCACCTACCATGCATAGCTCAAAATATAAAGGATGGAAGATTATTATAGTGATAGTTGCGGGAAAAACTGCTTTCATCAAATTGTGCATCGTTTGTTGATTTTTGCACGCGTGCGCTAGTTCACTTCCGTATAATAATTAATAACATCAACTAAGCCTTTATTCCACTTATTGATTACTAACATACACTGAGTGATCCAATAATTATTAGTTTACGGTAACGAGTACCTATTCAATTTGCTTTTTGTAATGGAATATAAAAGGCTATTTGCTGACCAACAACGTCTTTATTTCTTATAATTCTTATTCTATTTTAGAAATTATAAGTAAAAGCCCGACTTCTAACACCTAAGGATAACAAAAAAAAAAAAAAATTGCCAGGTTATTGAGATAATATTCCCTTCGAAGATTTAAAGGAAGGCAAATTAGAAAAATTACAACATAGTATAAAACAAAGTCGCTATCTGCCGTCTGTCTGTCCCTATGTATGCTTAGGTCTTTAAAACTACGCAACGGATTTTAATGCGGTTTTTTAATAGATAGAGTGGTTCTTAAGGAAGTTTTATATGTATAATACATGCATATTGCTCCCGTGCGAAGCCGGGGCGGGTCGCTAGTGTTTATATAAATAAATATTTACTAGTATTTTGTGTGCCTACAGATAAGTAAATTACCTAGTGTCATGTGTGTGTATATCTTTATTAACTACTAGCTTTTACCCGCGGCTTCGCTCGCGTCACAAAAGGATAAAAAGCCAATGTGACATATACCAATACACACAGCGCCATCTATACCAATACTTTTGTTTTCCCTCGGGAATATCAAATTTTTCCGGGATAAAAAGTACCCTATTATTTAATCCGGACTTCTAACTATACATCTGTAAAAATTCAAAGCAATCGGTTGAGTAGTTACGGCGTGAAGGTGGAACAAACAAACAAACAAACAAACTCACTTTCAGATTTATAATATTAGTAAGGAAGTAAGGATTCTACACATTAACTATTCTACACAACCGTCACGGTTACACAGAAGCTAGTAATCGGAATGATAAAAATAAGCAGATTCATAATTATACACACATTGTGTTATTAGAGCAAGGTCTCTGGTTAGTGAGTTTTTAAATCGCAAAACATGGGCTATTATTGTTATTTCTATTTTTATCGGTGTCTAAATTATGAAGACAAGAATCAGATGAGAGTAGTATGGAGCTTTTTAATCCATTTCGTTTTACGTCAACCGATCATAACGTAGACTCCTCTGGATTCTCTCTATCTTCTGAGGAAACTCCAAAATACTTGTAAACTTAAAAATGTATCAGTGTATAAAATGGAAACTTTACCGCACACTAAAATTTTCTCTTCTCGTGAATGTATAATGGGAATTAGCATAGGGCACGTTAAAACGCTAAATCAGTCTATCACTGCATCAATCGTGCAATTGAATAATAGAGATAATGGACGTAGAAAATCAAATAGATAGAACTTACTTGGAACAAGTCGGCTGGCGTAGGTTCTGAGATCGCCTCCTCAGCGCTCTGCCGCAGTTGTGTACTCAACTTGTTCTTGCATGAGAATTTATTGACTTTACCCGGATATTTGAATTGCCACGGAGAACCCTGTAAATGCAAAATATGCTATGGTTATGGTGGGTTACATGTTATACCTATGTTCGCCTAGCTATTTAAAAGGTTTAATTAGCAGCGTCTCAAAAACTCCCCCTCAAATAAAGAGTCCTATTTAAAATTAGTTCACCGCTAATTTTGAGATCATAAATGGATCTCAGAGACAATCTTTTTTATGAGCAACCATGAACATTTTTAACAGTCGAATTAAAAAAGAAACATCTTTTTTGAACGAACTAAAATGAACCCAATCGAAACTTCGAAGAAGACAATTTTTACATGACAACAGGAAAGCAAATAGGAATTATCATCCTTTTTGTAAAAAGTTAACAACCTTCAAATATCTGATAGAACAATTTACTTGACCAATTATGAACTCATTAAAGACTCCTATTAGTATCGAGGTCAACAAAACCGATCAGTTTAATACAGTGACGAGTATTTATTACGGTTCCTAGCCACTGACCCACATACTACACAGTATATTGATAAATAATGTAACAATGGCGTTTTGATTGAGCTAAAATTACATCGCACAATCTAGGCTAGGCGCAGACGACCTGAAAGTCGATAATACTAAATGTTATATGAAATACTTTGTTTAGTATTCACGCAGAGTCACAGACATGGCGCTCAATATTTTATTTATTGAAAGGCTTGTTACGTATGAGTCATGATTAAGCTTCAAATTAAACCTTCGTATTGCATTTTCTAAAACTATATCACGCGTAATGAAGCCTGAAAGCATAATAATCCATGTGTAGCTTAGTGGGATAAAAATAATTCATAATACCTAGTTTAAAAAAAATCCCTGATTTTCACCAATAAGAATTGCAATAGGCTCACCCCCTATTACATGGGACTCATAAGTTAAATTGTCAAAAGTAGGTGTTACATTGTACAGTGGCATTAAGTTTCGTAATGTGCTCCTCTGCCTACCGCTTCGGGGATAAAAGGCGTGATGTTATGTTATGTTGAAATTGCAATGAATGTTAATGTTACTAGATCTACGGAAAAAAAACACAAAAAGTCCCTTTTTGTTAAACTTTTGCCCGTCTATATGTATAGATAGTGTTCAGAACTTCAGATTCAGACACAAAGGTCATAAGTAATTGGGGGAAGGTGAACGGGTTTTCCAGAATCTTCTTTGTTGAATCATAATTTCTGGAAACCCAGTTAAATTTCAATATTACGTACCTACACATGTAAGTACGTGTTGATAAATTAATACACCATCTCCCATTGGATACTGGACCAAAATACACAGAATTGAGTCCAAACGGAGGCAAGCGGGGGCGAACTTGTTGAAGACATCATTTTATTGATCGCTTTCTAAATATAAAACTCGTGAAACAGGATCGCTTTATAAAGGAATCATGTACGAGTTCTATAATATCATTAAAGGTATCTACTTAGATGCTTTGAAGTTCAATAATATTACGTAAATAGGGAATTAACATACAGTAGACATGTATAAGTCTATTGATGTTTTAGTCTAGTGAGCCATATGAATTTAGTTCCAATCAATAACATGTCTACAATAAAATTGATAGAGCAACATCAATTATGTTTTTTACAGGAATAGGTAATTCGAAATGTTGAATTCAAAGAATCCATTAGAAATTACTTCAAATATTTCTTATACTTATAAGTATAAGGAGTGTTTATTTAAGTTTAGATAAAAGAAAAGTTACACAAGTTTCAAATGAAAGTTGTTAGCAAGAGCTTTTGTTTCGCGAGCACAGAGTTCAAAATTGTGGCTTCCAGCAAATGTCCTACAGAGTAAAACCGTTAAACTCACCTTATTGGTAACGAAGCCGAAGCTACTCAGTCGAGGGTTGGAGAAGAAGATCCAGAACTGCGTCAGATCATCATCAGCGCCGTCGTATCGGACTAGCAGACGACCGCCGACGTTCTCACAAACCTGTTAAAATATCACTTTAATAAAATAATCCATGTCGTCGTGTCTAACGGCGAAACTAAGCTCGAAAATTACTCATTATCATGTCAGGCATTACATGTTTAGACTTTTGATACTGATGATTGCTGAACATAGGCCTTTCCCACTGAATTCCAGATTCTAAGACGGCTAGTGACTCCCTACTTGATTTTAAATAGAACTCAAGAAAAGTTAACACTTTGTTAGAGACCCCACTAACAGTCTAGCTGTAATAATTAATTCCGGCCATCATTAGAGCTTTGGATTGCAATAGGCCAGGTGCAGTCTGCGGGGTAAACTTCATACGCATCACACGAATGTAATGGAAACTAAAACGGTCCATTTTTGTAGGTAAGGATTATAGTAAATAGTGCTATGAAGTTTGAAGTTTCTGTCTGTGTGTATACTCTTATTGTATTCTGACCATTTCGTAAAGAATTGGTTTTATATTTAATAGTAAGATAATTACGGTTTATTCCTAACATTTCAATTGAAGCCATAAAATATATTTATTTATAGTTTGTCGTTACTACGACCCACTTCATAGCGAGAGGTCACCTTCCTAGGCACGTCTTGCAAGACGTAACTTTCACTTATTCACTGAAGAAATCTGAAGAACTCGCTTTGTTTTTTAAGGTTTTTACGAGAAATCAGATGAACTGGAACTTTTCCTAACAATTATAGCCTAGGACGTTAGTCCTATAATATCTGAATTGAATTCCTACGTTTCATTTCCATAACTACTCTGCAGAGATTCCATAATCTCTCTTATTGAGTTACAAGCTCTATAGATTTCTGTGTCAATAAAAATGTAACTCCCCACTAGTTTTATATTACGTATCTATTTATTAATTGAAGAATTAATATTGAAAATCATCGGAGCAGTTACAGTTTAACCTTTTTTGTTAGCTTCAACAAAAAAAAAACAGTACCTTAGCTAAGTTATTGCCTAAGTAACTGGCTAGCTTTCCTAAGCTCAGACTTGGTAGTTTTACTACCCATTTAAAGCTCGGTTAGTATATCGCAATAAATTAGTTAATACTCACTTAATAAGCACGTTACGTCATAAAAGCATTGATTTTAAACTAAGAGACTTGAGATGAAACTGTGCCGTTATAAGGTTAAGGAAATCGTCTTGGAACTTTTAATAAGGATGTTTTGTTAAAAATACTTGTGTTTTATTTATTTTTATACAGATTTATAAGACATGCCTACTTATACAAGGACTGGGATAACCCAAGTTAAGGTCGCAAATATTACAAAAGTGTTTCGTGTCTATCATTATATGTAGATAGGTAACCATCCATCTGAAGTGAAAGGTCCACATCATAAACTGTTAATACTACCTACCGCATGATGGGCCATTTTTGTTGTCTAGTCATCTAGTGGCAGTTATCAGGTATTAAAACTGTGTAAAGCTCAAATAGTCTGTCTTAAATTATAATCTAAAGATTTTAGACTGAGATCAGTAACGTATTTCAGCCTTTGTTCCTTCCGAAATATAGGCGGTCACGGCGGAACCAGTGGTGGAACTATACCCTTTGGGCCCGGTGGATATTTCTTCGCCCCCGTACCCAATAAAAAACAGAGAAATCCAGCTGAAAGCCTCTGAACGAGGATCTTCCAGCTGGGGGCCCGTGGAATTTTGCCGCCTTGCCACCCTGTAGTGTGCCACTGTTAGGCACCTCTCAAGCTACCTAGCGCCTATATAGTTTTATAAAAGATCCTTTAAAAGGCATACAGATTAAAAATAACTCGTCTGTACCTAACGAGGGACCTTTACGTAGGTTACACGAGTACTGCCCACATACAGAATTGATAGGGCAATCTATTCATAGGCGCAGCGACCGGGGACCGTTTCAAACTTCCTTTCAGGGTAGGAAAATGATTTCGCAATTAATATTCTACGTATTTCAATCGCGTTTTACGTAAATGGTTTAGTTGAAAAAAAAAGTGTCGTATGGAAGGTTTTTTTATGGAATAGGGGGCAAACGGGGTCACCTAATGGTACCTAAGCGATCAGCGCCGCCCATGGACAACCACAACACCAGAGGAGCCACAGGTGCGTTGCCGGCCTTTTAAAAAGCAATACGCACTTTTCTTGAAGGTTTGAAGGTCGTATCAGTTCGGAAATACCGCCGACGACACATCATTCCACAGTTTTGTTGTGCGAGGTAGGAAGCTATGTAAGAAGCGCACAGTTGTGGCCTGCCAACCATCTATATGATGAAACATCTATATGATGGAAGGTGTTAGAAACTGAGATTTTCAACTTTGTCCTGAACCTTTGTTCTTAAATCACAGTCGCAGTTATCTACATGTTCTTACGGACTCACGGTACTCGATGGCGAGGTCAGTCTACCTTTTGAAGCAGAACTTTTTGCGTCCTAATTTTATTTAGCATAATGTTAATTTCGCAGAAAGTTGTTTGACTTACGCTCACTTAATCATAAATTCGAAAATCGTAATTTTGTTAGTCTAGAATTAAAAGGCAGAACCATCATATAGCAGAAAATTCGCAGTCAGTGTATTTATTAACACTATATTTTTTTCGCTCGCGGCTCCGGCGCTGCGGGGTTTGGGCGGCCCCACGCAGCTTCGCTTAAATATGACAATCGCAATTATGCCAAATAAAGTTCTGCCATGTTAAAAGTATGCCGTTACAAATTCGGACAAGTAAACGATCTGCCAATCAGTAGTTATGCTAAATAATTTTATGCCTTAAAAAATCGATAAAAGAAAACTGCCAAGTGTATTATGCCAAATAAAATACGGACCATCAAGAGTCTGCCAAATTGAAGGAACCCGCGAGGCCATCAGAAGTACGTGTAGTGAACTTCTGGTGGAACCAAAACTTGTGGAGCTCCGAGATAATCCCGTGGTTCGGAACGATTCAAGATCGATAGGACCACCTTGGGATCAAATCTTGTCTAGTTAATACCATGGTTAGTTCCCTACCCTTAAGACTAAAGGTCTTGAAAACCAATAGATAAGATATACCTGGAGATTTTTCTATAATAATATTATTTCGTCTTATTACGCAAATTATGTTCCCTTAAAAGTGATGCAAAATACTTAAGTAATAAGGAAAGTACTTCAAGTAACTGCCGGCTACTAAAGTGTCTTAAAACCCAAAATATTCGGCTACTTCTACGCACGAGGAAATAACTGTTAGTTCATTGATAGTTTCATTAACCACTTGGAAATTTTACTACCTACTCGCGTACAATGCGCATTGGCAACTGCTCCTAATGCAATCATCACGTTTTATCATCTCAAGTCACGTGTATAAAAATCTTAGTCTCTACGAATTTTTATTTCAAAATAATGAAATGTTTCAGCATTGATTACTGATAGTCTCATATTTGTTGCGTCCATGTCACATTTTTGAAGAGCATTGACACATGTTTCCTCGCGATGGAGGACATTCGAGGATGACGAAGTGATTTATTTTTAACGACTCTACCTGCACTCTTTGTATACGATTTAATTATTTAATTAGTATGCACGAATTGTGTATCTGACTTGATGGATAACATTACAAGGACAAAACTGCAATGAAAAGAAGCTATAATTATAATGCTGAAAAACTCACCGTGGCAATCCAATATCTGTATGGATCAATAACATTCTGCACCTCCACTTTCATACCAACTTTAATTCTATCTATAGGGGACAGCCCCTTATTATTTAAAGCCTCAATAGACACTGACTGACCATCTAATAAGGCTTTTTTCATAATCTCTATGATTGTATCTCCATATTTTTCATTAATCTCATCAGGAGGTTCTATAAGCTCGTCGTATTTCCCACACCAGCCCAGTGGATGGACCTTGGTGGTGGATATGTCGCACCAGAAGTCGTTGTCAGCACCTATGAACTTGATCCGCAGAAGATGTCCGCAGACCATGGTGATCTCTGCTATCCAGTAGATGTCTGGATTGTTCTTGTGACACACTTCCAGCAACATTCCCTGTTTGATGCCATTGTAAAGACTGGTTTCCACCTTTATAGGGATAAGAGATACAATTTTGTTTATTGTAATAATATTGATGAGTTGAGCATAATAATAATAAATGGGTACATTTTATAAAATGTTTACATCTAGCGTCAATAGTAGCAAGATATAAAAATGTATAACACAATAACAATATCGTAAACATCTTTACTCTTTTGCTAAAAATAAATAGCGCACTATAAATGTTAAGTGAGTGTAACATATGCACTGCAAGTTCTATATTTATTTTGCATATAAAAGATAAAAACACGTTGAAGGACAACATATGCATTTAGATTGCAAAATATTCATTGATTGTATTCTTTGTTCAAGATATTTAAAAATCATAATAAGGTAATTCATTTAATTGATAAATTAACGACAGAAATATAATAAAAAGGAAATAAGTATGTAGCTAATTTAATTAAAATGTCCAATACTCTATGATTTATTGTTATTACAATAAACTGTAGTTCATAATATGGGGAAAACTGAACAAAAGCTACCAAACTCCCATTAATTTTTCATCATATATCTTTCTCTATTTTAAAAATATACTTTTTAATTTTATCAAGGTTAATTATTCTTGCTTCTGAGGGCAGATGAATTCGAAATTAAATATTCCTTTTGATACTATTTCTTAATAAACCTAGAAGGAAATATTTTGTTTGAAACGAATCTTTGTATCTCAATATTTTGTTTTAATCTCTTATTATGGTATTATAAAAAAAAATAATTAAGACTTTTAAAACCAGCCTAGAAACAAGTTAGTGTTCTTTCAGTTGTTACAAATTTCCTCTTTCATAATTACATTTTTTTTTAATAATTTACATTGCATGGCCACCATTAGCATGAGTAGCATATCTACAGTAAAATAATTATACCTTTTCTCTTAATCATCATTTCATCATTCTAAAAATAAATTTAAGCTACATCCACTTCTTTCTTGTCTCAGTCATATAATCAAACATTAAATAAGTAATAACAACCATTTGTAATATTTAATGGAAGTCATTAATATGGTTATTATTTAGTATTGAAGTTCATAACCATATGGTTTCACACATATTTGAAATATTTTGTAATTATATCTCTAACATTTAACAAAAGTCTTAGAACAATATCATAAAAGTAAAATACCACAATAAAGATATTGTTATTTTATTCATGGTTTATAAATAGAATTAACATGAGATGAATTTACACTATCATATTTTATTTTGCTAAACGTATTTTCCTTGTAACAACTATTGTTTTTGTAAATTAATGACTATTAGAAACAGTGAAAATAATAAATAGTCTATTTAAAATCATAAATAATCTAAGTTCATTGTAGAATCGACGTAAAAATATATTATACAACATGTAACAAATAATAAAATTGAAACTTACATGTAAAAATAATTCTTCAGGAACAGCGATAGTTTTATTCACTTCTAAATAATTATTCCAGTCGAAGTCTGCCATAATTTTTTGTTTATTGTATTAAAAGTCATCAAATCAAAATTTAACACCACAAAACAAGTTAATCGAACGGTCGAACTTGTTACGAATTTCAGAAATTCATTCTTTTATTCTCACATTTCAAGTATGGTCTTTCTGTCTCACTTATTCAATAGGTTGAATAATGTTATCTCTCTCTTAGGTCCTTTCATCACAGCAGGTAATATTGGATTGAAATAACTGCTACATGAAAAATAATGAGCATAAAAAGTTAAAAAAATTAAATTCAGTAGACAATTAAATTGAATTTAATTTAAACGCTTAAAGGTTTTATTTGCATTTTATTAACCATTTAAACAAACCGAACAAAATATTGCATTCAGTAATAATTATTGGCAAATCATTGTTGAACGTAAAAACGAAAAACGAAACGTAGCTGCCTATTGTTTTATTTTAAAATTGACGTTTCTAGAGATGTTACCATTGACTTAAATATGTCAAAAAGTCTTAATAACAGTTTAATAATAAATTCACATAAGTTATTTCTATTATTTATTACATTGTACAGTGGCATTAAGTGCCGTAATGTGCACCTCTGCCCCTTCGGGATAAAAAGGCGTGATGTTATGTTATTATATTGTTATTTCTATAAAATAATGTTATAGCGAAATTGCGTTTCCTAAGTGTTTATTATATTACATAAGTAACGTAAAACGGGGTGATTAAAATTCAAAAGATACAGGAATGGGGTGATTAGATGATATAGCATTTTCGCAATATAAAACTCCCTTTTCTTTGTCTATTTACCCCTCGAATTCTATTCACTTCATTCCACGTACTAATTTATGAAATTCAACATAATAGCTGCAACTTATTTTTTTATTTCATATAAAACCCCAAAGACGTTGAAAAAAAGGCGAACATAGTCTTTTGAAACAACGACTGTGGCACTTGGCTAAGTGGTTACCATAGATTTACACGTAGAATATGCACATATTGACACATAAGACATCTGAAGCGTGACATGGCCCGTCATTACACTTCATATATTACGGTGTTTCGATTACATGCAAACATAAATACACCACTGACATTTTGGTGCTTCAATAATTTCCAAGTAACAAAATTACGTCCGCTTTCTTTCAACGTCCTCGTAAAACAAATACAGTTTTTCATTCGAATGACAGTTCATGTACTTGTAGAATTAGTGTTTCGAAAGTTTAAACTAAAAATTATATTGTTTTCATATTGAGTAATAGTTAGAACAAAGTTGTATAAAATAGGTAGTAAGTAGCTTATAAGTTTTGTAGTTATAACTTTTAAATTTTGTCTTGATTGTTGATCTGATTTCGTAATTTTATTTCATTTAATTTAAGACAATCATACATAGTTATATTATTATAAATAAATATGCTCATGGTCATGAATGTTACGGTTTTACTACGTTTTATGGCCAGTTTCAATAACCTATCTATCTGTAGATTTGCGTACTAGAGATCTCTAGTAAGCAAATGTTAATAAACCATGTTATTACGGTTTTAGAATTGTAATTGGGGTAAGCCTATTTTCTTTTATATTCGAGTGGGCCGACGTTTGGCCACTATCACGCTTGGTGGTAAGCCGTCTATGTTCACCACTGGACGTCTTTTGGCTGATAATGATAATGAGCTTTTTTTTCTTTCTAAGGGGGGAAAATCATCGAATGACTGCTCCCGCCTGGGTGAGGCGGGAGGGAGTGTCAGACTCTAACTGACTAAAAACCACCGCGTTCCTTCTCCTGCACGTCGAGCCGGAGCCCCTGTTACCTGTTAGGTTCTCCGCGGAGCTTAGGAGGCGTGCGTTAGGATGTTATGGATTCCTTAATCCATTGCCGTTTCTAAGAGTATCAGGCCCTTGCCTGAAACTCTTAGAAACGGCATGTATCGTGAAGAGGTTTCTGTCATTTTCTGTTTCTGATGGAGCCCTAACAACTTATAGCTTGGACCATGCTCCCGCTACTAGTCGGCTCCTATTTTTTATTCTTTTAAATATTCTTTTAAATTTCTTTTGTTAAGTAGTATTTAAAAATGTAATTTATAAAGAATTTTAAATAAATAAATGAAAGCAATACTAATTTCTAACTAATTCCGAAAACCCGTTATCTAAAACCAGTCGTTACTCTATTTTTTGCGTTCCTATTTATTACAAACAAATTTGGGTTTAATAACATTTTAATGTTCCATCTCTTTTTATGTTTACGTTTTTTCGCCGAGTGAAAAAGAAATACAAACTACATCCTAGTCACTACTTATGACAGTAACTGGAACGCACTCTACATCTGATTCCATTTGTAGCAGTTATATTATTTTCGTTTATCTGTGCCGTGTGACTTCAATCAACGGCAGTGTCGCGGACAAACGTCATTTACTTTGTTATCTTTTGATCCAATTTATCTGACAACAATAAAATTTCCAGATGGTTTCTTAATTCGTACGGACAAGACTAGTCTAATAAGTTTCTTGTGAAGTGTCAGTGTATTTTGTGGATTTGTGGGATTCTCATTATGTAAATACTTTCTCTTTTATCGCCTGACTGCCCGTGTTGCGAAATCGAACAAAATGAATTTTTATACAAGCGCAGTGTCGAACAGCAGTTCAAACGGTACAGATGATGAAGGGTGTATGTTGATTAACACCACTCAAAATGTGATTATAACAGGTGCGTACAACGGTATTCCTCAGACTTTAATACTGAACTTGGTGTCGTGGACATGCCTCATTGCGTTGTTCACTGTGCTCCGGCGGACGGCGTGGAACTACGGGCGAATGGCGCTCGTTCAGCGCACGAAGAGCCGATGGACAAATCTATTTTACCGCGGAGGTGATGGCGATGCTTTAGTAAACAGAAGACGAAGCGCCGACGAGACCCTTAACATAGATGAAGGGTTCTTTACATGGCTGCCAGCAGTGTTCCGCCTAACTCGTGAGCAGGTTCTTTCCAAGTGCGGCCCCGATGCTGTACACTACCTATCCTTCCAAAGACATGCAATAACATTGATGTTCATTGTGACGCTTGTGTCTATTGGGCTGATCCTGCCTATAAACTTCCAAGGCACTAATCTAAATGTGGACTCTAGTACCTTCAGTAGAACTACTTTGTCCAACTTGCCAGGGAGATCAAACTGGCTATGGGTACATACTCTAGTAAGCATCTCCTTTCTTCCAATATCTGTCCTGATCATGAGACGGTGTACAGGACGTAAACCTGTGCCAACATCCATGACTGGCACAATTATGATAACAAACATATCAAAAGCTGATAGGAATGAATCCACAATAAGAGCTTATTTTACTAACAACTTTCCTAACATTCAAATAGTAGATCTCAGACTTGCCTACAACATCAATATGTTAAATGAAGTACAAGAAAAGAAAGATATGGTCACCGAAGCCTTAATATACACTGACTCTTACTTTAAGAAAACTGGGAAACGCATTACTGTGAAGGCTTCATGGTGTGGTCCAGAACTGGATGCACTGGAGTTCTACACCAATGAAGAGAAGCGACTCAAAGATGAAGCAAAAAGATGCAGAGCTATGGTCTTGAATGACCCTCTTGGTATTGCCTTTTTAACTTTACCATCATACCAGCTTGCTGAACATGTAATCAATAACTTCAATTTGCATTATGGCTGGGTTTTGTCTCATGCAACAAACCCCTCTGACATAATTTGGGAAAACTTAAGTGTACAACCTGGTGTGTGGTACCTGAAAGCTATTGTAGTCAACTTCTTCTTATTTATTGTGTTATTCTTTTTGACAACCCCTGCAATTATTGTCAATCTATTCAATACAATGGTAGCAAAACCTGATGCTCTAGGAAAAATTAGCACTGTAATTTTTGAATTCCTCCCTACCTTGCTTCTGTGGACGATGGCCGCTGTCATGCCAGCTATTGTTGCATTCTCTGACAAATTTCTTTCTCACTGGACTAAGTCCCAACAGAACTACTCCATCATGACTAAAACTGTTTCATTCTTATTGTTAATGACTCTGATCCTGCCCTCATTGGGTCTTGCCAGTGCTGAAGCATTTGTCAGGTGGACGATACACCACGAAACTGACCCAATGCGCTGGGATTGTGTATTTTTACCCGATAAAGGCGCATTCTTTGTTAATTACGTCATTACTTCGGGTTTTATCGGAACCGCACTGGAACTGATCCGGTTTCCGGAACTGTTTCTCTACGTTTGGTATTTACTACAGTCTAAATCTAAGGCAGAAAAGAGCTACGTAAAGCGAGCCATTCTTTATGAGTTTCCATTCGGAGTTCATTATGCTTGGAGCATAGCAATATTTTCAATTACGATGGTTTATAGCCTCGCGTGTCCGCTGATCGCACCGTTCGGCTTATTGTACATGATGTTTAAACACGTTGGTGATAAACATAATCTGTTTTTCGCCTACGGTCCGTGCGACATGAGTGGTGTTGGCGGTGGGAGGATCCACGCTACAGCCGTTAGACTTATTCGAGTTTCAGTTCTCTTGCTTCTCGTTAACATGGCTGCTTGGGCTGGTTTAAGAGCAGGCTTTGAAGCTAGAACTATAATTTTGATAATGGCATCGATTGTTGCTTTTGGAACATTTTTGTTACTCAGCCCATTCCCGAGCTGCACGCCTCCTGCCCCGCTGCAGGAAGAGCCTAGTATCAGATTCCCAGAGTACATTGCGCCTGCGTTGACTAAACCCATTGATTCTCCCCCTAGTACGGCAGCCACGACCCCGGATTATGGGGCTTCATCACCTGTAACGACGCATTCTTATAGTCCCGACCCAATTAATATATAATTTGAAAATTAGTGAATTTCCTTTACTAAATAATTTTTGCCTTAACTTGCGATCCGCTCATATCAGTGATAAACGAAACACATGAATGGGTGTAGTATTAGCGATTGGGAATGGAGCATTAGACTTTTAGAACAATGTAAATAACCAATGCAATATTTTTATATATATACATATACGAAGTTATTGTAGGGGTAGTCGACTGAAATCTTATGTTCGGATCTTTATTTTAGTGTACACTATATTTTGTAAACTAAAATTAGTCGTTTGACCCACGAAAGATTACGATTAATATATTATTTTACTGCTTTACACGAAGCACTTAATGTTTATTTTTTTATTTTGTTGTGTACGTTGAACTTGGATCACGCTGCTACAAGCACTGTATTGTTACTAGGTTTAGATTAATGTTAATGGATAAATTTAGATCTATAAGGACCATTTTGGTTCAAAGAGTAATCGATACGCCTATAATGAAAACGTAATTGTACTTTACGCCTTAGACTTGTCGTAATCCATTGAAATCTTAGATCTTTGTCAGCCTATATGCCTAAGACAGCAGTCCAGAACATAAGATGTCAGAATATTTGATTTTGTGATTGTTTTATGGCTGTCATTTTTATATTTCCTTATTCCTAGTAACTTATTAGACGATAATAATTATGCTTTATTTTTTGTACATAATGTAACGAGATCTTTCGTGTTATATTTAGGTAAATAACATCGTCGGTATCAAATAAACACTGGAATGTATTTGTTATTTTCCTTCAACCGAATTGCTCATTACGAAATACATATTATATAAGTATCTACTGTATTTTATTGTATTTATTAAAATATAAATAATACGGTTCTCCAATAGTTATTGGAATTATTGCAATTGCTTAGTATTGCTACTAGTTATATCTCGGCGAATGCATTGGTGCACTAGGCGTTATAATCTTCATTTTCACATTTAATGCTCCTAATCGGATTGGCATGCGGAGATCCGATTCATCTCAAGAGATTTACTCTATTTATTAAGAAACAACATTTTGAAAGAAACGTACTTTATTGTCCTCAAATTGTGTTTACAACGTCGTTTGCCTAAACAACCTTTATGCCACAATTAGAGTTATTATTCAAACGGAAGAATACACAATGATAAATTACAATTATTCAAATACCAAATATTGTATATACAACCATAGCTAGTAATATTACATATCAGTTTGTTCGAAGTTTCTTGCAAATTATTTCGCCACGTACCATACCACTAATTAAATTCAGGCCAGAGCAACCTTCTAGTCGGTCATTTACTTCGCATGTCGCATGCTTGCTCTAAAAAGTATCGCGAAGTAATAGAAGTAAGTAGTTATAACATCGCACCGAGCACCGATTATGATTTGAACCGGTCCGTTCCATTCCATCGACATCAGTAATACGATACAAGTTGATTCAACGCGTAGACGGACGCGAACAACCACATTCGGTGTGTCAAGGTTCGTTGGTCAGATCTCGTTCTAAGGTGTTTTACATAACTATCGTCTGTTTGAATCTTTACGAAGCCAAAACAGCCGCAACTAATACTGCTCTTAATTTCTGGCCGTGAAAATGCTTTCATATTATTGTAACATTGTTTAATTTGCAAGTAGTTTTAATGCATTGTCTTCCGTTGGTCAGATAAAAACATTGTTCTGAGACATGTCTAACATAGCCCAGTATAATATTGTGCATGACACTCAAGTCCAAATAGGTTAGTCATATCAAGTGCACGTGAAACATATTACGCATACTAATTAGCTATACTAGAAACCTTGTATAAGATATTAACGGTACGTTGAAAACCATCCTCCTTCATTCGTTAGTTACTGTTATCGTTAATGATCCAAATCACTTGAAACATTTGAACGTAACATTCAGGTCAGTTTGTTATTAATATCTTGAAACACTTGTATTTGCACGCATTGTTCGCTAAACATGAATTAATTGATGGTATAAAGCATAACCAGCTCCCATTTTCTGAAAGCAAATCAATTTATCGGCTTATCGTATCGTAAACGTGTATTGTAATGGGCTATTTAGCTGTGAACTATGAACCTGCGAATGTTTTCATATTGCTCTGAGAAGTAGACGACTCTATTCATAGATGAGCCGCGTTGTAATGGCATGAGGTTACAAGAATACAAGGGCAAATATGCGATACATCCGTAAACCAATATGGCTTCCTCAGTGACGTCACTAAGAAAACTAAAGTACCTTAGAATCCTCCAAGAATTGTTTTTGTGTTGTTTATAACTTTACTGTAAATATTCATAATTATGGTAGAAAATTAAATATTCAAGTCAGGCATAAGAACACTAGAAAATTAAAAACCAATGAGAATTGATTCGTCACCTAAAATGATTTTTCTCTCGGTCTTTTTATTGCTAAACTATAGCTTAACTTTAAAGTGAAATGCGACGTAGTTTACTTTGTTGTTATTTGTAAATAATTTTGAAATCACGCCTGCCTGAAACCTAGTTATCTGCAGTAAAAATATTCCCTTTAAAAATAAACCTTATGACTAAAAAAATGAATTCAGTAGCTAGCTAGTGGCTAACAGTTATCACTGGGACAGTTCAGCATGACATAAAATATCGATCTGTGAAGTCGTGAACTCGTGACCCCTACAAGCTACAGGTTATTTCATACATAGGTATCACGGACCTTTAACCACGTACCTAGGTTAGGAAATTATTGTAAACTTTAACTGTACACTAAAATATAGGATGTTGATAAATTATAATGCAAAGCGATAGTGCGATATCTATTCGCAGGACATGACATCATCCAATCTGTTTTTCTCTGATCAACAATTTGATCATATTTATATCCTAGTCTATTTTACACATCATTTATAGGTACACATTTCTATAGCTTTACTTACGTTGTGGTTTTTCGAGGCAACGATAATCTTTCCCAAAGAAATTCTATGTCATTTGAAAATGTGATTGCTTAATTTATGCTCATTAATTGACATTGAAGAAACGAGTTTGTTGATGTTTTTTTTGTTTTCACATTAGTAAACTAAACTTGTTTCGAAGTTAACCGCTCGGTTGGGATGTTGAAATCACATTCCGAGTTGTTGGAAAATATTCCGGAATAATTTCCTTTGGTTGAAATGAAATATTGGGGAAACTGTCTAAAATGGCATAACCTTTATAGTGGTTGGTCGCTTGGTCTCTTGCCTTAGTGTGCATTGTGTTTGTTTTCAGACCAGACCAGAGCCAATAAAATCAGGTCATTGAACGTAATATCAGTGAATGTTTTATGCAAACCGTAGACGCGAAAATAATAATTCACCATATTTATGGAGATAAAATACTTACAAAAAATTAATACTGTTACCAACATTTTAGCGGAAAGGGGATTTTCAATATGATTAACGACCTGTTTTTATCGGACTACTCAATTAGTCAATTATAAATAATACTTATCCACGTCACACAATCGAAACGATATGGTTACATTTTATCTTTATTGGCACGTTTATGGTCACGCCGAAATAATTACTGCGCTACCAAAACAGTTGAGCAAACTTACATGTTTGTTGAGACACGAGTACACAAGAATTTGACCAATTTGTGACTCGAAAATGGAAAATAAAAGCCGTATTTATTCCCCTCGTCTGCCATCGCTTAACCAAATCAAGCACTGACCTCCGTTCATGAATCATCCACCAACATAATCTTTTATTCTACACAGTCCACATTTTTACCCTTTGAAGTGTTAATCTATGCGGTCAACTGTACTAATATTTTCGAATCTACTTGATAAAACAAACGACAGCTTTACACGCTAATAATATATTTATTTTATCAAGGTACCTATTTGTTGGCTTTGGTGATAAGAGGTGAGCAAATTGGCTTTTCCTTTATTAGAGACACTTAATACTTACATACAATGGGTTTTTACGTTACACAAATTACTTTGGACTATTGCTAAGTAGCTGATATAATAGCAAACTAGATTTATTTCAATTCTCATAAAATCTGGTGATAGAATAGATTTGCGTGCTCTGTAAATGGATTTTATCAGAAGTGAAACGTCGCGTCTTAGAAATATTCTGATTATACCATGGACGTGAGGTCATTCATTCATTGACAAGTTCCTACCCATGTGCGTCATAGTTGCGACTCTTTTGCCCTTTCTGAGTTCTTTGACTTAATGGAAAATGCCAGCTTTTCTTTAAGAACGCCCTTTCCATTTTGTTGACGTGATTGATATTATAGTCACTTTCAAAAGAACTATGGCTTTTCAGAGATTAGAGTTTTAATTAAAGAACTACGTTTCAAGAAGCTCATAGCAAAATACGAGAAACCGCCGAATGGCTAGACTCTTATCAGACTTAGTTCGTTGACTCAGATAGGTGCCGGTGTAAACACAACAAAACAGAATCTTGTCCTCCTATGATGAAAATTTTTCTAATGATTAATAACTAAGGCGATCTTTTCAAATCGATTTGAGATTGTGTTACAATGAATGATATATTTGGGTAACAAATTAATCAAATTAGGTTTCATATTGTCAGTGCTACTAAAACTAAAGCAATTCAACACGCTACTGTAACTAAATCAGTCTATCAACGAATAATATATGCAAGTCAAAATTAAACAACCATTTCCATGTTTGAGTTCCAACGGTGACTAATTTATGCGATAATTTGGATTTGCGAAGAATGTTTTCCTGTCGAATGGGGACTCAAATAATTCAAAATACCAACTCATAAAATAATAACGTTTCTATAACGTGCATATATAATATGATGATGTGAAGTTAAGTAGTATGTCTTTTGTATAATAGGTAACATGCAATTCTATGTACAGCATAACTACGTACGTACATGACAAATAAATACGTATAATTTATATATTGAAATTGGTTATACTAAATAGATAAAATGTCCGAGTTTAATAACAAATAATAATTAGTCCACAATGTTGTAAGTGGGTTTTGTAAATAACATTCGTTTTTAATCAATA